AGCCATAGCGCGCGAGCGAGTGTGAGTAACAAGAAGCTTGCAGCAAGTACCTCCCAATGTCTTATTCTCTAATTGATGGCTCTATCCGCATCTCGAATGCTTACGGCACGAGGAGGGGATACTCGCGCAAGATAATAATGATAATAATTATACACGTCGGGAAAAAATTAATTTTTCACGCTTGTAAATTTTCATTGCAAATCAATCGAAATGATGCAGATATTATCTGCGGATAATTGCAATATCAATTATGTGTAATATCCAATCAACGTTAAGAAATGCTTTCATGAACTAATAAATCAATACACGCAGGCCGTACTCTCGACGCACTTAATCCAGCATATTGAAACGATCCGATTGTATTTTATTTTTTTGTGGCTGCAAATTTAGTCAATCTCAATAAACGATGGCTATAATCGCGCAAAGTGCTTAGAAGCAGGGAATCTTTTGTCGGCTGTGTTCGGCTATACACAATTGTTGCTGTTGTTGTTGCCCGTCGCGCAAGTTGGTGTTAGCGAATTCCTTTGTTACCGATGTAGATTGGAACACGTCTAAGCTTTTGGTCGATTGAAGTTTAAGACCTGGAAAGATACATCAGAGCAAACGACGACAATCGATGAGCAACGCTGCGCTGCGCACGAGCTGCGGGGTGACGATTGAGCAATTTGTTGTATAAACCCGGTAGTGGTGGCCGTAGCGGCGACGCCAGTTCTTTTTTTTCACTCTCATTTTCCTATTTTTAAGATGATTGGAGTGGATTTGATGCTTTTAGAGCGGAGTGTGCAGGAGTGACTCATGCGGCATTACTTTGGAAATTTATATAAATCTCTCTTTTTTTTTACTATTATCATTATAAAAGTAAGTTCCATCTGCGGGGAATCATCAAATCGCGATCGGAAATTAAACATACTTTTTTGTTCAAATCAACGTGCCGTAGCGACTTTTCTTCTCGAGTCCAAAAAAAATGAAAGAAATTTCATCTCAGTGCATTTGAATATAGATTCGTTATGCAAAGTAAAAAAAAAACTTTTTTTCCCATCGACACTATCACGCTCCCATCAAACATTGTTCGTGCACTATGTACTAATGCAACCGGCAAACCCCGAAAAATCCTCGGCGTTTTGCGCTCGTCACGTGTTGTACAAAATCAAGCTTGCCGCCGCAGATAATTCTATCTCGGAAGAACAAAAAAAATATCACGTTTTCGGTGGGAAAAAGGTACGAAGAAGAAAAAATTAAATCTCGCACTGCACTGGCTCTTATGCGAGTCAAAGCTTAATCGACCGAACTACGTGATCAGAGGAAAAAGTTTACCTCGCGTTTATAACATACCAAAAAAAGACGTTTATTGTCTTATGTATAAAGTGAACGAGTAGGAGAGAGAGAGAGAGAGAGAGAGAGAGAAAGAAGAGAAATCGAAGGAAAATTTTGATGTTTGAAGAAAGAGTAAATTGAATTTTTTCACCGAAAGAAACTATATACCGTGGCACTTGCCTCTTTGAGAGCTGTGAAAAGACTATTTTACGCTTCAACGCGAAATAGTATTATATTTTTTTTCTCTCTATCTATCTCGCGCATTATTAACTGAATAATCGAATAATTTAAAAACTTAATATATTTTTATCAAATTAAAAGAAAGTCTCGATCTTTTTTAACTGCTCGAGGAGAGGCTTATTGCCGGCAGTGGAAACATATGTTACACAGAAAAGCCAACGATCCATAAATTTGCCTTATTCGAGCAGCTCACAACGATTGATCTTGAATCTATTTGCTGGAAAAAATCACGCTCTAACAGTCATACAAATATGTAATGCGCATTTTTGCCCTTGCTAGCGCGCAAATAGTATTTTCTACAATACAGCCTGTGCACTCACGCTTGTACAAAGTCATTGAATGAAAATCCTTTCTTATGGTCACGGCATTGAGAGTCTAAAAAGGAATTTTTAATGGTACAAAAAGAAAAAAATTCGATCAATAATTTGTCGATTTGGCAAGCACAAACGATTAAGCTCGAGTCTATGCGTTATTACGATCTGGCAGTGTCAAGAAACACCACAACAAATAATTACTTCATGTACTCCGTGCACAGTGTGCAATTTTCAGTTATATTTAAAGCACTCATAATGAGTCTATGCGAAATGTGTGTATTTTCAAGTTATATTTAGCTTCGGCTTTTGTTGTTTGAGAGTAAAAAATGAATCTCTTCTGTCGTTCTCTGTCGAGTATTTATATAAGAGGAAAAAATTCTGCAATAGAGATGCATTGAAAAAGTAATAAATTCTCCCATGCAGTGTGCATGCACATAGAGATCGCTGGCTGCTGGGTCGAGCTCAAAGTCGTCATTGAAGCGAGTGAAATCGGACCCCGAACGATTTGCATATACACATACCTTTGCGCAAAACGTGCTGCTGCTGTTTACATGCGTTTGTGAGGGATATTAAATCGTGTGTTGGTATACGGCTCATATTGAAAAATCAATATTTATGAGTCAGTTTTAATGTTATAATCCCAAAGAGATGTGGCAAAAATTGATTTGTAACCATTTGTATCGATTATTATATTCTTCATATCGAGAATGTGAAAATCGTAAAACTTTCATGTGTTATTAAGGCTACGCATCAAATTCCAGTTTGTAAATCTTATCGAAACTTCAAAAGCCTTTCGCGCAGTGCAAATACGAATTTCTTGATTGGTCAGTTGAAAGCCCATATGGAATTGCAAAATTGCCAGGCTGTCGGTGAACTTTATTTTCATTGGCATCTAATCGATATTCCAGCATTATCTCATAATTAATGATTTCCTGCAATTATATCCTTTGTGCTTATCTTGACTTTAATTGTTTGAAGTGCATTTTCGCAGAACCCAAGCGCATTTTCAATGCCAATCGGTTCATTAAACAAAGTGTAGTATATGTATAAGTTTTCCAATTAAAAGAAACCTGAAGCAATGCAGCAGAGCGGATACCTTCATGGACCCTTTTAATGCGCACACACACACACACACACACACACACACACATACAAACAAAGTGTCTTGTGTTGCAGACATAACAATAAAGCATACATAAACTGTTCCCTCTTGTCTTTGAGTCCGTTCCCATTCCATCGAGATTTAAAAGTCGCTAAACGCTAGAACACGCCTTTATCTCGTGCCTGCTACAACTTAATATATTATTTATTAATGGAACGCGTCCTGCTCTCTGTCCTCAGTAAAATATATAGGTATATATAACTTCACAATCACAAGGGAAAATTGTCACTGTCAAAAGTTTCCCAAGGTACGCGTTCGCCGTTCAGTAGGAGTTTCAAGAATGTGTGAAAAAAGACCTTGCACAATTCAATATGACTTTGATACTTTTCATGCTTTGTTCTTTTTCAAACGATTTTATTACTATTGGCTTTCGCGGTTTATGAGGTATTAACCGACGAATTATAAGTAGGATGCGTCGGTTAATGATTGGCATTTTCCGTCTTTGTGAATACATTAAAATCGTGTAATTATGTGGGACGGAATGATTAGTACTTCCTGTAAGTCAATTATAGTTACAAGCGAATTATTGTTAATTTCACTCGATTTTAATTACGATAAGTTTTGCAATTATATTCTTATATCATTATCACAATCCGATTAAAAAATTGAGATCAATTTATATCGATTTTATATCTCATTTTTTGATTGAAAATACAATTGAATTAAGACACATGAAAATATTCAATTATTTCCGTATTCTATTTTATCAATAGGCTTCTTGCTATATCATGAAAATATTTTATCTCGCTAGAAAAATGGTAAATTATCAAAAATCATAAGTATCTCAGAAAAAGACCTACCAACAAATAATAGCAACAATAGCGTGCTCGTAGCTCTCAGTATCGATTGCTGTAGCTTCATGGCTCTTCCTTTTACCCGTTGCACAGAAATTACTTTTTTTTAGTTGAATAACTTTTGCCCTCACTTTTTCAATGAATCATTAATTTTTTTCCAGGGAGTGACAATTGAATTTTTTTAATCAATATCCAAAATCACCTGTGCGAATTCGGCACTAAAATAGCGATAACACGCGTTGACCCACGCATGCTCTTTCACCGTACCTCTAAACAAGCACACCTTCACTTTTTCGCACGTTGGCACAGGTCGTTGTTGTTGTACTTAGTCGATCATGTGTCACCGATAAAACTCAACATCTTATACACCCACACTCGAGCACACCGCACGATGCATGTGAATAAATTTAACCACGTGTAGCGGCGGCGCTCGTCGCCAGACTGAACTTTGTAATGAAATCCTTCGTGGGACCAACAACCATAGTAGGCCCCTTCTCGCTGCAAAGAGAGTGAGAGGATTCTGCAGCGCGGGAGAGGGAGACTACTGTAATGTATATACGTGTGCAGTTTTGCCGCACTAGCTGTATAGAAAAGACCCAACTGGGCAAATGGGTCAGTGTGTGACTGTCGCACAGACACCAGTGCAACTTATGCGCGTTTTGATGCTTATTTTTCAAAGTATTTCTTTGAAATCTTTCGATTGAAACCATCACTTACTCATTAGGAGAAAAAAAAACCGTGACGTTTGTTTATGATTTTTTTTATCTATGCTTTATTGTCGACAATGAACAATCGAGATGGGAAAAGCCAGTAGTAGAAGCCAGATGTCAAAAACTACTTTCATTTTATAATTGAGTGCTTGGTCTGAAAGAGAGATTATACGTACACAACATTCGCATATATGCGCCTTTATACACATTCGTAAAAAAGCGTAGAGTTTTCCACGTACAAGGAAGAGCTAATTTAGCGCGAGGAAAAGTTCTATATTATGCCAAATAAGGTAACTTTCCCAAAAAGAGATGCCAATTGAGAATAGTAATTTTAACTGAGTGAGAGCATTGCTTGGCTTATATAGTGGAACAATACGTATTTGATCGGCAAGTTTGTTGAAGATAAATTTAATGCAATGTTTGTATTATAAGTTATTTAACAATTTTTTTTTGTTTTTTGTTATAGAATTTTGCCGAAAAAATGACCAAATCACCGGCTATTGGATTAGCATCGTTCATCGAGGATCAAATATCTGATCATTTCTTACGTCTTCATGGCTATTTGCAGACATCCGAACAATTGCTGAAGAATCAACTTTATGAGTGGAATGATAACTTGCGACAAAACTTGAATGACTTTCAAAATACCTTGCAAAAAATTGAACTCAGTCTAACCGATGTTCACAATGTAAAATATCTTATTTTCAATTCTTTTCATCTATAATAAATTGCAACAAATAGTAAAATTATATTTTTAGCAAGCAAGTGCCATTAAATGCTTTGAAGGAATCGACGTACCAAAACTTATCGAGAGAATGAACAAATATGCCGATTCACCGTGTCATATTTTGGAACATCAAGAATTATTATCAACAATCAAGTATAGATTGGACCTTTTTTTGATAAATTGATTTCAATTTCATTTTCATTTTTTAAAGTAACTCTATAATTTTTTATAGGTTTAAAATTAACCCAATATTTGATGCAGTTGCAACTCATGTTGAATTGATTTTGCCTGAAGAGCCACTTTTTGAATTGGTTGGAACGTCGCAATTGCCTGCAGAATTTGTGTTAGAACCTATTCCAGATGATATTTCTTCTTTAGGTATGTTCGAGAGAAATAACTTAATGTTAAGTAAACAAGAATACATTTAAAAATACCTAAATTACAGATATTACCTCAACTGATACCGTCATGGTTCCCGAAACCTCTTCATCTTCAAAATCTCCAATATCTCTAAATGTAACTGAGACCGATAATCTAAATGAGTCTTTCGCCAATACGTCTACAACCTTTGAAAAGGGTGAGTCTTATTACAACAGATTAAAACCCTAATGGAGTAAAATTTAATGAAATTTCATTTTATTCTTGAAGGGACCACGGAACGCGTTATGGTCACACATATTAACAGTCCTGCTGATTTTTATGTGATAAGAGACAGACATATTAAGGATCTAGAAAAAATCGAAAAGTATATTGATGATATTGCTGAAGAGTATCCTGTACCTGATAAAATTGAAATGAGTAAAACAATATTATTTTCATTGTCACTTTACGTGTAACTCTTTTTCAAATAAAAAAATTGTTTTTTTATCGTAACAGATAAGATTTATATAGTAGAATCTTACGTCCGTGATAAGTGGCTACGTGGGAGAGTTGGACAAGGAATAGAAGAAACGTCTGAAGAAACAAATAATGAATCGACTTACGAAGTTTACTTCATCGATCACGGTTTTATCGAAGAAGAAATGACGATCGATCGATTCCGATCGATTAATGAAACTGATTCGAAGCGTTTGGGCAACCTACCGCCGGCAGTTTTGCGTTGCACCTTATCCGAGATTGCGCCGATAAACAATATTTGGGATGATGAAACTATTGATGTATTCAAGCAGATGGTCCAGGGGTAAATTTCTAGTTTTACAAATCTTTTGATTATTTATTTTTTAATAATGTATTTTTCAGACAACAATTAATGATGCGTGTATTGCATAGCGCTAATAATATTTATACGGTTGATCTCCAAAAATATAACAGCTCCAATAAGCTCGTATCACTACACGATTGGCTGATCGATTCTGAATACGCTAAGCCAACGACCTATTATAAACTCAAAGTGAGTAATTTTACACCTTTTAATCTGTTTTTAGTTTAACCTTAATAAATAATAAATCCTTGAATCTACGACAGCGAATGAATCCTTTATCTGCACAACACTTCTATTATGAAGACCTGCCTTTGAATGAGTATTCTGTAGTAACAATATGTTATGTAGAATCGCCCAGTTGTATCTACGTGAAGAAAGTAAGTAAAAAATAATTTTTTATAGATGATACTAATTTTTTTATTTTAAACCATCAGGAACTGAATGGGGCATTTGAATATATGATACATGAATTTAACAGAGAATACAAAGAAGAATTAAAGCAGAGAAATTTGTCTATATTGAACCCTGAATATGGTAAATTTCTATTATATTTATTATCATAAGATATATACATTATTGACTTCTTATACTCAATTAATTTGTAAACATTAACAATTTAAATTTCCTGATTAACACAGGTACGGCTGTTGCTGTTCAAGACGGTGAAAACTTTTGGCATCGAGGATTAATTACGAAAGTAACACCAGAAAAGAAAGAAGTTCAAGTTCTTTTGGTAGATTACGGATCAACCGTCACGTGTTCTTATAATAAAATATCTTGTTTACCGTCTCGATATTGTCAATGTCATGCGCAGGTAAACTTTCATTAGCTCCGTTTTCTAAACAATTCGTTTGTCTATTACTTAAACATCATTTTATGGTTATGATTTATTCTGCTTCCAGGCTATCAAGGTTTGCATGTGTGATATATTACCTATCGATGGTCAGAATTGGTCTATAGATACAGCTAATTATCTTAAAATAAACTTGGAACAAAAATTGGTGCGAGTATTTCCTTTTGAAAAAACCAACGAATTATACAACGTTCACATATATTTGGTGAACAACACAAACGTTAACGGACATCTCGTTCTAAACAAGTACGCCATGTCTACAGGAAATCGGTAATTTTAATTAAATTTCAATCTTATTTTCTTCTATATAGTCTCAATATAGTCTCGCGAGCTCAATCTTATTTTATTTCAATTTTTTAGGCCATTAGAAGCAACATCCAATCGTGACATCAAATTGAAAAGAGCCGAAAAGAAGAAAGAAAAAGCTTGGGAAAAAAAACAACGAGTTAAAGATATAAACTCTAATGCTGTACCTGTTCAAACATCAAAAGCGAAGAACTCGCACAAGGAAAAAGAAGAACCAGACGAATTTAATATAAGAGTCAAAATTAATAAGATAATTAATCCCGATTCTATTTATGTGTCAATACCGAGAACTGATCGAGATTACCAGGAGATGAATAAAAAGCTTCAAAAGTTTTATGATAAGAACGCAGCTAAAAAATGGCATGGGAAATTAGAACTGAATTATCATTACTGTGTTTACTCGGTCAAAGATCAGCAATATCATCGTGCACAGTGGATTGCTCCTTCTGAAGAAGATCCTGAGAATAAAGCTAAGATGCTGCTTCATGATATTGCTGAAGTTGAAGATATCGAGATTAAACACATTGAGCCGCTGGATATTCAGTTTTTTGCGCCACCAAAGCGCACATTTAAAATTAAACTTGCTGGCATAGCACCTGTAGGTGGTAGCAACGTCTGGCAATCTTCATCTTGTCAAAAGTTGGAAGAAATTATTAACAGTAGTGGCGAAAACAAGTATTATATAACACTTGTTGTAAGTAGAGACAATTTTAGTGTGACAATAATAAAATTCTAATTGTTTCATTTCAATATTTTATCGTAGGGAGACTTCAAAGACGGAGAATGTATCCCAGTCAATCTGACAGTGCGATGTAATATAACACCTGGACCCCTTGACCCAAATCGGAAAGAATCGTTTTCGGTAGCTAAACGCTTGATAGAAGCCGGTTTAGCTTTACCTATAAGAGGGTACGATTTAGATAGAGTATTTTCTCCATTAGACTCTGCAAATAACTCAGTGGCTCGATTAAAATTCCAAAATGATCAATTTAAATTTTAATCGTTATTATTTATAATAAGTGTATAATATACATTTACATATACGATTTATTGAGTTACGTTTCAATAAATATTTTCTTACTAAAACAATAACATGAAAATGTAAACGTATGTACAAAAACAAAGATTATAATGATTTGTAAACTATACGATTTTTACAAAGTATATTCTGTTTCAAATGATTCAAATTTATTGTTTTATTCGGTTTGTTAAGATTAATAAAAATTGAACTAAAATTTATTTCAATTATTTGATTTGAAACTATTTAAGAAATTCATTATTTCGAACTGATGAAAGAAATTTATACCAACTTCATTCGTTCACTGTAATGCTATAATTAACTATTCATTATTGTAAAATTATTCATAATCAAGCCATTGAGTTTAAGTCTATTTTTACTTTCCAACTTTAAATTTTCATAAATAAAATTAATAATAAAAATTATTATTAATATTATTTGCAGTTATCAAGAAACACCTCAATTATCAATAGAATTATTGAAAAGACTTATAATCTATCACCACGGAAAAGAAAATGAAGCCTCACTTCAGCTTAATCAAGAGGAGATTTTAGATATTTCTAGTTCTAAAGTCAATGGTGTTAACGACAGTAACAATGAGAACGACGCTGACGTTTTTATTGACAGCGGAGGTGAAATTGATAATGCTGACAAATTTGATGAAAACAAATCAAGCGATTTTGATTCGTCATATGATAAAATACCCGAAAAATTCACCGATTGGGTACCTGCTAGACATTTACCGCACAGAGGTTTTAAAGCATGTTGTACTTACGTAGATTTCGATGGCGATGTAAATTTTTATCCATATAGTGGTCTGTACAACCGATATAAAAACATACCGAACAAAATTGTTCAACATTTGGTGCTAAATAATTTGATGTTCTTGTAGACAATGATACCATTGAAGAAATGAGTAGAATATTGTGCCAACACTATGATCAACGAACCATGAAAGAACACGATCTTGGTGATTGGGAAAAAAATGATTTGTGTATAATAAAATATCACGCAGATCAAAAATGGTACAGAGGGCGAGTATTAGATGTTGAGCAACCGATGAGGGTAATTAATGCCATGTTATTTAATTTTTATACTTTCAAATATTCTTAATTATATTATTTTTATCAATCTGAACCTTGAATCAGGTTAGATTAGTTGATTATGGAAATGAAGAGGATGTTGTACTTGGGGAATTGAAAAAACGCATCATTCCGAGTGTTCAAAAGATTCCAATATTAAGTACCAAGGCAAAAATTGCAGGAATTGAACCAGTATGTATTGCAACAATTATATTGTTTACAGTTTTAATTATCAAGTATTTTAAAATTATATCGATTAAAAATTTAATTTTTTTATTTTCAATTGCAGATTCATTCTGAATGGGATGTCACACATCTCGATGTATTGCATAAATTGCTTGTAGGACACAATGGCGTTGCAATGAAAGTTATTGAACGACCTCCGAAAGATTGGAAGGTAAAACTAAATTATCTTTTTCTTACGATTTAAAAATAAATTATAATTATATACAGAAACATAATTTTTTTGATAGGTTGCCATTTGGATTATTGAAAAAAAGTCAGCCATTCCATTACCTCGTTACCTAAAACAAAATACTCAAATTGAATGTCACACCGAAGATATTAACCAATATTTTGATGATGATATGAGAGAAGTAGTAGATTTTATGATAAAAAATATGCAAAATCCATCTGAAGTTGTTGAAAAGCCTGCTAAGGTGGAACAAACCAATCTTCAAAGCTTTATCAATTCTACTGTAAACAAAAGTGATGACAGTAAAAAATTGGTTAAAACAATCCTTAACGAAGAATCGTCAGTAGATGACGACGATGATGAAGACGAGGACGATTATGAAACTACATCCGAAAAAGACATATCGCACGTAAAATTTAATAACAAAATAGAAGAATATGAAAGCTGCGTATCTGAAACTTTGAGAACAGAAATACCTTTAGAGGAAGTAACAATTAAAGCGGCCATGAATTTGTCTTCAATCAACAATTCTTCAAAGTAAACTTTTTCATTAGTAAATTTCAATATAATTTGTGAGAACGTATATTAATTTTTATTTTAGTTTGATCAAATCTAGATTGAATTCGGAATCTAGTACCATAAAAAATGATGATCATTCAAGCAGCGAAGAAGTGTCTGATGAAATTTACAATTCAGAAGTTGTAATTTCAGGCATCTTGTCAAACAATCAATTTAATCGATCATTAGATATGGAAAGTGTTAAAAGTCATGTTTTAAATAATGATGCGATAGATGAACACCTAACAACTTCAACACCATTAAATAATTCCATTGAACTGAATCCTGATCTTCCTCAATACATCGATTTCTATCGATACAATGTTAATCATTTTCGAATGTTTTTGACTGATTTGTCTCCTGACTTTACGATGGGTGGTTTTATCGTAGATGTACCTGATCCTGTAAGCTCTCTTACTTTGTAATTTAATGCATGTATAACTTTCACGGTAAAATATTTAATTATTGATTATAATTTACTACGCTAGGAACTAAATAAATGGGTCAAATATTGTGAAAAGAGACAAGATGAAATACAAATCGAAGTTGAAGATCAACCGTCTTATAAATACGGAACAGGTATGATTATCGTAGATTTTACGAATAATTATGGTCGAATATATTATTCTTTCCTTGTAATGTAATTTCGTTTCTTTGTTATGTTTGCTATTTTGTTTTTTAGGAGCCTTATGTTTAGCTAAACACAGAAACGGATTTTGGTGTCGTGCACGTGTCATAAAAACTGAATTTACAAATATGGGTGACCGTATAGAAGTTGAGTTAATCGATTATGGAATAATAGACAGAGTATATGAACATGAGTCAGTACTCCCATTTTTTAGTTACATTTTATAGTAAATTATTGTATAATTTTTTAAAATGATTTGTATAAAATGATTGTTCTTCAGATTGTTCGTAATTAAAGAAAAATGGTTGAATGATCCGTGGATGGGCTTCAGATTCAAGCTACACAATTTAAAAGTAAATGATAGTATTCCAGACGCTGCTAGGGTGATAGAACAATTTTTCGACCAAGTCGAATATGTTCATGCTGTTATAAAAGTAAGTGTAAAATTGAATTATATTTTGCACTCATATCACTTCCAGACGATATTTCATGAATTTATTTTAACAGAAACATGCACCTGTAATGGAGCTGGAATTATATTCTAACAAGGCCCATACAAATTTGGCGTATCAACCCTTAATTGACAACAAATATCTAACCGCGGTTGATTCAAAAAATAGTTCGGGCATTTATTGAAAGAATCGAGTTCTTCTAGTATAGGCATTTTTCACTTAAACAAGTACTTTTTATAATGTTTTAATGAGACAAAGAAACATTTTAGTTTTTCAGGATTTTTATAATTTTCTTTAAGAAATTTCAAGATTATATATTACATAGATAAATCTAAATAGACATTGTAAAACGATGTCTAAGTTTTTTTTTGATAAAAGACTTTGGAGATATTAATTATCCTTTAATTTTAAATTAATACATGAAAACTTTATTTTTGTTTATTTGGTTTTTTCAAATCAAGTTTTTCTTTAAAAAACTTGATACGTACTTGCGATCGCTTTTATACGTATTACAGTGGATTTCATAAAACTGTTCTGATTCAATCCAATAACATGAAACACTATTCTTGTGAACTTCAATTTATTTTATTTGTAATGACGGTCTTGTTCTCTTTTGTAAAACAATCACTTTGTGATTGCTATACATTTACTTTTTAAGTTATTAAATAGATAGAATTAAATAAATCGATATTTATTTACTTAAAAAATTATAATTTTATTAAAAATCCTTATACACAACTTATATTAATATGAATGCAGCGACTATTTTTACGTGTGAAATATTCATTCAAAATATTACTGTTTGGTTCCCAAACTATACATTTTCGAATAATCATTAATTGAAATTTAATTAGATATAAGTAATGAATTATATCAAATAATTTTTGTTCTATCTTACATTATTTTTACAATGATTCTGTTTTAATTCATGAAAGTAAAGACGACAAAATAATCGAGAGGATTGTGAAATTCATTAACCGACAAGACAAGATAAAGAGACAAGAAGCTAACTTTGAGAATAAATGCAACAAATATTGGATTAACGTTGTGAACTTTTGGCAATTTGCTCTTTGAGCACTAAAATACTTTGTCTTTGTTCCGGAGGAAGCATCGCTATTTGTTCATCTGATAACTGCAATACTTGCATGATGAGTGCAGCCTAAAAATATTAAAATGAGCAGCATTATTTTTTCTAATCAATGAATCTAAAAAAATATAAAAATTAATGTAATAAGAGTTTATCATTACCTTCTCTTGATCAGTTGCCCCACTTGGAATACTTCCTGTAGGCATTCCGGCCATTAAACGTGCTGTACTTCCTGCCATTCCTGATGCTGCAGCTGAATTTAAGGTAGTTGAAGGTGGTACTGGTGTCGCAACTAAAAATTTATTAAAAATTAATTAGAATTATTCATTATCTCATATGGTAGTAAAAAAATTTCAAATACCATTGGACTTAGCAGCCATTCTAGGATCAACAGGTATTCTTGGGTCTCTTGGAGCATCTCTTGCAAATCTTTCTGCTCTTGGATCTCTACCAAAGCTAAAAAATATGAAAATCAATTTCATTGTCCTTAATATTAACTATAGAAGCATGCAAAAACAATGAATGGAACCTTTCTAATCCTTCCATAGATAGGAGACTATGCATGTGAAAGAAATGTTAATGATAAATAATTATGATTTTGTTAGTAACATTGAAAAGATTGATTGCATTATTATTTAAAAATAATTACCCAATACTCTCTGGCATATTGAAGGCTGGAGGTGGAGGAACTGCTGATCTAGGATCAGAAACAGCAGGAGGAAGTATGGGTGGTGTAACAAGTGGTGGTGGAGGTGCTGACGTGGTTGGTGGGGGACCTCTCAAATCTTGATCCATTCTTGATAATCTTGGGTCTATTTTTCGATCTAATGTTCTTAAATCTACATCTTGACCTGAAGAAAAATCATAAGTTAATAAAATATACTGACATGTTGATTGTTTCTTGTATAAGTGCATATTATACTTACTAGAAAATATAGGAGTAGGAGGAGCAACAAGGGTCGGATTAGCAACTGGAGCTGGTATTGGTGGTGGTGGACGATTAGGATTCCATGGTTCTTCAATTCTTGGTGGTGGTACACTCATTATTGATGGTGGATTCTCTGATGGTACAAGTACTGGTGGAATGGGATTAGCTTTATGAAGCATATTTACAGCAGTGAGTGGATCAACAATTCTCATAACAACTTGTGCTTGAAGTAAAGCATATGCAAGTTGAGGATTTTGTAAAAGCATTTGTCGTGCTTCGTTTGGATTATTTTGAACACATAACTTCATTTGACGCATCAATTCAAACATTTGTTCTGGTGGTAAAGAAGCAACTGCTTTACTAATAGCTTCTGGTGCTTTATCAGATTGTACAGCTTCTCCATAAGGATTTTCAGTGCTCTGACCCTGCAGCAGATTTTGCATTTCCATTCGACTTTTTTCTGTACAAGCATTGTCAACCCTTAATGTTCTTCCACTTATTTCATAGCCATTCAAATTACGCATGGCACTAAGGGCAGTTTCTTGATCCTTGTATTCACAAAATCCATATCCTTTTGGTTTCCCTGTCTCTCGATCAAATACTAATCTAAATAAATTAAAAAAATATTCCTCTAGTTATAATAGTCATTTCATTAGAGTAAATAAATCATGGCGCAAAAGATTTAAAACTTTCTTGTTATTTGTCGTATTTTGAAATATCACCACTTTATGTCTAACATCTATTATTTGAGAGAAATGAGAATGACAAAGTTTGATGTTCAGACAGATAATTTTAAGAGGTTAATTTGAATAATTGAAGCAATTATTAAAATATGTAACTTACTTGAACGATAGTACTGGTCCAACTTCGCTGAAAATATCTTTGAGATTTTCTTCGGTGGCTTCATACGGGATATTACCGACTGTACAACGATAAAAAACGAATTATCAAGATAGAAAAGTTCAAAACTACCTGTGGACGTTGATCGTGCGACTTACCGAAAACTGATCTTATGGATTTATCCATCAGTGTCTGATCACTTATCGTAGCTGTGGTCGTCGTGGTGGCACTCACTGCAGCAGTTGTAGTCGTCATTTTGGCGATTTTCTTTTGTTTTTAACGTCAAAAAGTTCTAAAAAAATATATCGCTGCAACACAAACAGCAGCCCGATATAAACTCAAACAAACGTCTGAGCAAGCGTTCTCTTCAGCCGTCGTCTGGTGAGCAGAACTGTAAACACTTGGCCGCCGACGACGCGGCGGCGGCAACGTGACGCGCAGATGCGAGACGGTCGCTAGACCAGGTCAAAATTCGAACTGCTCCGCGAACGTGTCTTGTCCTAGCATATCACCGCAACACGCGCGTGAGTTGTGTCGTGACTATTTACAGTTACTCGGAGGTGGGTCTACTGCAGTACAGTTCCGAGAATTTTAATTGATTTTGTTTCGCGCATTGCCGCCGCCACGCGCCGCATTCGCGGTATCGCGGCTCGGGATTCGAAACTGACGACAGGCGCCGGCCGCGTGCTGCATCGACTGTCATTCTTTATCGAGACGGAGCCGTGCACGAGTCGACACGCGCCAACATTGATCTTCATTTAGTCATTCGAAAATTGTTGCATGTGTTTCAAAACAAGTTCGTAAAGCAGTTTTCATAGTTATTGCAATAGGAAATTATTTCATTTGAAAATCACGACGCTTATTGATTGTTTCAGTAAGTTGCAGTTGCAAAAAGAACAAAGGAAGTTTAAACAAATAACGTCTACCAGAGCTCGACTTTTTCACAAATTTCTTCAAAAATGGATAGCATCACAGCCCAGCGTAATATAATTTACGTACTTGAAAGTTGGATATCTTCGTTGAAATCTTTGGCTTGTGCTTACCTCAATTTTGCAAGAAGACAAAAATCCAGTTGCCTTTGTTATGTAGATGTTGACAGTGCAGATGGGTGTGCAAGTGGAAGTCAAGCTAAAAAAATGTGCTTGTCAAAAGGTATACCTGCCTTGAGAATAAATATGCACTGCCCAGAAAAAGAAGAGTACGAACAAATTCTAAAGATGACAGAGATGATGACAAGAAGTATAGACAAGTTTGAAGGTTTTCTGCAGAAAACAAAGCGTGAAATGAATAGTACTATAGATCCTCATGCTGAATTTCTTATACGTCTTTATCACAAAGTACCTGCTCAAAATAAATTAGATTGTTTTTTATTGTGTATGAATGCAATGACTAAATTTCAACGTTCAACTGAATAATGCTATCATTGCATGTAAATATATAGTCAATTAATATTCGTAGTTAGTTTTTTGAAAGTAATGATCTTGCTCTGATCAAGATTATTTAAAATGACAGACATGTTCTTATGTTATGTTTTGTTTATAATTCAATTGTTCCTATTAAAAAAACTTCATCATGTCATGTACATGTAGTATTAGCCAACTTCGACAGTCATGCAGTTTAGTAATTATTGTTAACGATATTAAAGATTGTAAAAATTTTAATTTACATTGATTAATACTGAAAATATAGTGTTAGTTTTTATTTCATATATTGTAATTGACTAAGCATGGCGTATCAGAAAAAAATGTAGAAATTTGACATTGTTTTGTTGAAAATTGTTGATAAATGAGTTAAAATTTAATATTTATAATTTGTTGTTTAGCACATGAAGGTAATTAGTGCAACTTTACTTTTCAAAGAGTATTATTTATTCTACATATGTAAAAAGTCAATATTACTTTAAAATCATAGCGATCATTGTTGAGCAATGCGTTTATTAGTCAACTCGTATTAATTAGTTCCTCAAAATATATTTAGCAAGATTAAAGATTATAGATTCTAATTAGGTTGTAATATTGATTTTCACCTTTCATATGTACAAACTCATTCTTTTTTATTTCTCATTCATTTTTTCATCCATTACTGTATTAAAATTATTTGTAATAAAGCATTATTTTTGTATCAAGATATTTCCAGCAAGTAATTTGTATGTGTTTTGTGCCTATTGAAATTCGAAAATCCCGCATCACACGAATGTTCACCAAAATCTTCGCCGATTTATAGCGCATGCGTAAATTTGACATTTACTTACCTGTATAGAACGCAGATTCAACAATGCTTGTGTAGTTTTTTATTGAGTATACGTGACGCCAGTCGAATCCCCAAAAATACACAGATGACTCAGAGAAACAGTCCTCAAAACTGTCAGCATCTTGCAGCTGACTATAAACATACGCGAGTAGTCCTTCGCTTTGCACGGTGAAAATAAATTGCTAGAAATGTCCTCCAATCGTAAGTTGAGGAGTTACACGAGTCTTTCGCGAAGGAGGATAATATCAAATGCAATAATTTTCCCGCATCTATCTAGATCGAATAGTGTGCTACTACGGTAGCTGGTCGGTGTATCGACCAGACGCGGGCAAGTTCGACGTCAGCTTCATCGATCCGCATCTTTGCACTCATCTGGTCTACACTTTCGTCGGCATACAGGAAGACGGCGAGGTGCACATCCTCGACCCCTGGAACGATCTGCCGGACAACGGAGGTAAGGATGGTTTTCGCAAATTCAACGACTTGAAGAAGGACAATCCCGCGCTGAAGACGATGGTGGCGATCGGTGGCTGGAACGAGGGATCGTCCAAGTACTCGCATGTGGCAAAGAGCGAGGCTCTGAGAGAAAAGTTTGCCGATAACGCCGTGGCTTTCGTCAAGGTATATGAATTCAAAATTGGCTTCAATGCATAAAATTGCATGAAAATAGTTTTTCTTGCTTTCTTTGTCGTTTCCTCAGAAATACGGTTTCGACGGTTTCGACATGGATTGGGAATATCCGTGCCAGCGAGGCGGATGCTCGGATGACAAGAAAAATTTCGTCTTGCTGCTGCGAGCATTGCGTCGACGCTTCAGTCAGGAAAATTTGATACTCAGCGCAGCCGTGGCTTCGGCTGAATTTTCGGCCGAAAAATCCTACGAGATCGAGCAGGTCGTGAAAGAGCTGGACTTTGTCAACGTCATGTGCTATGATTTACACGGTGCTTGGGATAAAAAAACCGGTATAAATGCGCCGCTCTATGCTGGTTCTTGGGAAAACGAAAGCGAGAAGAAGCTCAATGTGGTAAGTTACTTGCGATTGAAAAATATTTTACGAAGGCAGAAGTTGAATCATAATTAATCAACAATCGTTTACTTTGCGTCAGGATGCGTGCATCGATTATTGGTTGTCTCAGGGCGCACCGGCGGCCAAAATCAACCTGGGCGTGCCGTTTTACGGTCGCGGCTTCACTCTGGCCGATTCGCAGGTCAACGGCATCGGCGCCACGGCCTGGTCGCCCTCGAACGCCGGTCCCTATACCCGCGAAGCCGGCATGCTCGGCTATAACGAGATCCTGGAAAAATTGAAGAGCGGCGACTGGAGCGTGCATCGGAGCGACGAGCAACGCGTGCCGTACGCCGTCAGTGGAAATCAATGGGTTGGCTACGACGACGAGCAGTGAGTAATCGATTGAAACCGGATCAATGGCTTTTTTTGCACGATTTTTTTCTCAATTTTTTTTCGATTGAATTTCAGGTCATTGCAGGAAAAAGCTGAGTATATTAAGAAGCGGGCACTCGGTGGTGTGATGATTTGGAGCATCGAAACAGACGATTTTCGCGGAACATGCGGCGATAAGTTTCCACTGCTGTCCACGTTCAATAAGCACTTGTTGAAAGATGAAACAAATGTTGGTTATTGCAACGTCGTGTGACGTCGCGAAGAAAATATGCTTTTAATTTTTCTTGAAAAAGATTAAAAATTAATGTAATCGATTATTATGCAATGAATATATGAACGTATTTTTCATTAATACTATAGCTTATTTCCAATATTTTTAGTATAACTCGTATTCATATCGTGTATGATAATTTATAAAATTTCCATTGACCCTCATGAACATGACTTCTACAGCCAAGCTTATTACTTTCCAATATTTAGTATATGCCACAGTATGAACAGAATAAAAAAATCTTTAATTTAAATTGACTGCGCTGTTATGCATTTATTATGCAATATTACATCGGTTACGGGGTAGAAGTGAGTCGCCTTTTTGTAAAATATAATTTACCTAAAATCAAAAAAGTAGATAAGACGTAATTCACAATATATACGAAAAAGGATCGCGGATACAGTTATCTCCGTGAAAAATCAGAAATTTTGAGTCTTAAACATCCTATAAAAAGAAGAAAAAATCGCATAGCTTCCTCGATAAATAAACTAAGTGCCATTTTAAAATCCGATTTCAATGTGAATCTGCCTTTTTAAGGTACGAAAAAATTTTTAATATACATGCATGTACATGTAGATCAATTTACTAGATTTTTTTTGGATGAACTCGATGTTGTTTGCGGAAGTTTGTTTAGAAGAACTTGGTTTTAGATCGCTCAACAATTCTTCAAAACAATCGTCGTCAAGTTAGAGTTTTAAATTGTTTCAAATATTATAACTATATATAAACAGATAAATTGGTAATTCAATTGTAAACAATAAATTATAAACGATTTTGACACATTTTATCGATACACTAATAATGTTTAATGTTTATGATAAGAACAAATTAGTTTAAATTTTGCCTTTCCCAACGAAACAAGCCATAGCACCAAAATTAAATAGAAAGTTCCATCGTTTAATTTAACCATTAAAATAGATAAAAGTGAGAAGGAATTCGTGGAAGTTGTCTCAGAAGATAATTTAGGTAAATTTGATATTGTGGTTTCAGGCGATAAACAACACATTTGTGATATTTGTCAGGAGGCATTTACTCTCGAATCAAGCATGATATTGAACCGAGAAACAATTCACAATGAGCAAAAAAATTACGCATGTGACAGATGTGAAAAGAAATTTGAGTTCCGCAGTCATTTGAGTAGACACCAGATATCAGTACACAAAGGCTGTAAAGATTTTTCATGCGACAATTGTGAGAAGAAATTTGCGAAAAAACCGAGTTTGTTTGCGCATCAAAAATTAGTACACAAAGATCGAGAAAATTATGTATGCAACAAGTGCGAGAGGAAATTTGAAAGCAAATCGATTTTACTTAAGCACAAAAAAATATTCCACGACGTTTTCAGAGAATACTTATATGAAAGGTGTGCGAAGAGATTTGGAAATAAATGGAGTTTGCTCAGACATGTAAAGAAAGCACACGGTAGTCAGAAAGATATCGCCTGCAAAATCCTCAAAGACAATAGCGAGACGAAATTTAAGGATCAAAGCGAGTTGAGAAGACACCAAAATAAAGTTCAGGAGGGTCGCAAAGATTACGAATGCGATAAGTGCGAGAAAAAATATGAACTTAAACATCATTTACATTTCCACCAGAAGATAGTCCACGAAGGTCAAAAAGATTACGTTTGCGATGTGTGCGAGAAAAAATTTGGACAAAAAGCGACTTTGCTCTTTCACCAAAGAACGGTACACGAAGGTCGCAAGGACTTCACATGCGACAAGTGCGAGGAGAAATTTGGGCATAGACACAATTTGCTCTCGCATATTACAACAGTCCACGAGGGTTGCAAAGACTATTCATCCGATAATTGCAAGAAGAAATTTGGACAAAAATTTCATTTGCTCACCCTCCAAAATACAGTCCACGAAGGTCGAAAAGATTACGCATGCGAAAAATGTGAGAAGAAGTTTGGACAAAAACTAAATTTGCTCCGCCATCAAAGAACTGTACACGAAGGTCGGAAAGATTTCGCGTGTGACAAGTGTGGAAAAAAATTTGGGGATAAAAGTAATTTGAACAAACATCAAAAGGCAATCCACGAAGGTCACAAAGATTTTGCATGTGACAAGTGCGAACAAAAATTTGCAGAAAAATGGAAATTAATCAGACACCAAAAAACAGTCCAAAGATTTTCCTTGCGATAAATGCGAGATAAAATTTGGACAAAAAGCGCATTTGCTCCGCCACCAAAAGACAGTGCATGAAGGTCGTAAGCGCGTGACAAAAGTAAGAAGAAATGATGATTGACAATTGTATATAACTATATGGATATTACTTATATAGATGTTTTTCTTAAATTTCAATAAAAATATTTCCTTTATGATTGTGTCTTATCTAAACCTCAGGCGTTAAACTATCATTATACATTCGTTCTCTGCCTTTATGGTATTCAATTTTTGAACCACTTTTCGTGTATTTCTATTTATCTCTATAATCATTTTTTGGATACAAGATTCCCAGCTCTTCATGCAACGATCAGCCAAGAATTTTTCACTGGAACAACTGAATTTTAGATAATAGCACGTTACTTCCTAATATTTAGTACAAGCCACAGTGTGGTCAGAGGAGTGTTACCTTCAATTCTAATTGGCGCCGCCGCAATTATTATGCAATACTATGCCGGTTACCTGGTAGAAATCAGATACATTTTACTAAAATATAATTTGTCTAAAACAAAAAAGTAGGCAAGACGTACGAACAAAACTCGTGGATACAGCTGTATCTCGGGGAAAAATCGAAATTTTGCAGTTTAAAAAATCCTATGAAAAGAAGAAAGAAATCACATTGCTTCTCCAATAAGGAAATAAAATACCATTTTAAAATTATAAATCATACCACTTTAAAAAGTTGCTCGAACGAGTCGTCGCTGAGTTAGAGTTTTAACTTGTTTCAAATATTGTAAGTATAAAGAGATAATCGTAATTTAATTGTAAACAATAATATATTATAAACGATTTTGACACATTCCCTCGATATACTAATAATGTTTATGATAAAAATACATTAGTTTAAATACTACCTTTCCCGACGAAACAAGCAATAGCACCAAAGTTAAATAGAAAGTTCCATCGTTTAATCTAAGTACCAAAATGGATAAAACTGAGGAGAAAATTGAAAAAGTTGTATCAGAAAATAATTTAAGTGAACAAGACATTGTTGTTTCAGATGACAAAAAATACGTTTATGATATTTGTCAGGAAGCATTTACACTAGAATCAAGCATGATGAAACATCGAGATATAATTCATAATGAACAAAACAATTTTGCATACGACAAGTGCGAAAAAAAATTTGAGCTTAGAAGTCATTTGAGTAGACACCAAATATCAGAACACAAAGGCCGTATAGATTTTGCATGTGACCAGTGCAAGAAGAAATTTGTGAAAAAATCGAGCCTGGTTACGCATAAAAAATTAGTACATAAAGATCGCGAAGATTTCTTATGCAATAAGTGTGAGAGGAAGTTTGAAAATAAATCAACTTTACTCAAGCATAACAAAATATTCCACGAAGTTTTCAAAGATTACTTATGTGAAAAGTGAGCGAAGAGATTTGGAAATAAACATAGTTTGCTTCTGCACATCATGTACATAGTACATGATGTTCAGAAATATTTCGTCGGTAAAGTTCTCAAAGATTACTTATGTGACAATTGCGGGACAAAATTTAAGGATCAATGCGAGTTGAGAAGACACCAAAATTTAGTTCACGAGGGTCGCAAAGATTACACATGTGATAAGTGCGAGAAAAAATTTGGACAAAAATTTCATTTGCTCACCCACCAAAAAACAGTCCACGAAGGTCGAAAAGATTACGCATGCGAAAAATGTGAGAAGAAGTTTGGACAAAAATCAAATTTGCTCGTCCACCAAAAAACAGTCCACGAAGGTCGAAAAGATTACCCGTGCGACAAATGCGAGAAGAAATTCGGATACAAACACACTTTGCTTTTACACCAAAAAACAATCCACCAGGATCGCAAATATTACCCGTGCGACAAGTGCGAGAAAAAATTTGGACAAAAAACATTTGATCCTTCATTTAAAAACTGTACACGAAGGTCGGAAAGTTTTCACATGCAACCAATGTGAAAAGAACTTTAGACGTAAACAGCATTTGCTCTGTCATAAAAGGACAGTCCATGAAGGCTGCAAGGATTTTGCTTGCGTAAAGTGCGAGAAAAAATTTGGTATTCGAAGCAATTTAATCATGCACCTAAGAACAGTCCACGATGGTCGGAAAGATTACGCATGCGACATGTGCGAGCGAAAATTCGGACATCAACACCATCTGGTTGGCCACCAAAAGAGAGTACATGATCTTCGTAAAGATTTCGCATGCGACAAGTGTGAGAACAAATTTGGAGATAAACATACTTTGCAGAGGCACCAAAGAACAGTCCACGAAGGTCGCAAAGATTACCCTTGCGACAAGTGTGAGAAGAAATTTGGACAAAAATCTCATTTTCTCTTACACCAAAAAACAGTCCATGAGGGTCGGAAAGTTTCGCATGCAGCAAGTGCGAAAAAAAATTTTTAGAAAAATCGAAATTAATCAGACACCAAAGTACAGTTCATGAAGGTGGCAAAGATTTCGCATGTGACAAGTGCTAGAAAAAATTTGGACAAAAAACGCATTTGCTGCTCCACCAAAAGACAGTACACGAATGACAAAAGCGTGCGACAAATGCGAGAAGAAATGATGATTGACACTTGATATACGGATATAGATGTTTTCCTTAAATTTCAATAAAAATCATTCTTTTATGATTGTGTTTTACCTTAACCTCAGGCGTTAAACTATCATTACACATTCGTTCTCTGTCTTTATCACCCAAGAGTTTTTTTCACTGGTTCAACTGAATATTCGATAAACCTCACGTAATAATATCAAAATGAAAAATTTAGATAAATTTTCTGACAAACCGATTATTTCTGCTACGCGAGCCGCGATCGGTAACAACAATACGTTCTATCTGATAAAACCAACATTTTATAATTTAATTTAAAACAAAAAAATTTTTTCAATCACTTTAAAATTAATAAAAGCTCTCATAATTGTTTTCTTATTGCGTGAGCGGTCGGTAAATGAAAGTTTGCGTGGGGATCACTTATGTGAAAACACTTTTTCTAATCCACCATTTAATACAATGATAATTTTTGAGTCAAATAATCAGTGAACAGCGCAAGAAAGAAATTCATTGCGGCATTAGTCAATAAAGTAAATTTAAAATTGAGCTCTTCCGGTACAACCAACTCGAACCAACCAGCCAAAATTGCGCAGGGACCAATGGCTAAATAAACTGTGAAAGCAGCGAGAGTGATCGACGATACTGAAACACAAACAGATTGAAGATGAAGATGAGTTTATATTTTTTAATTATATTTTTCTCGTCCCTTCTACTCACTCATAAACTCGCGATTCGTCCAAACAGGTTTGCGATAAGGCCAGCCCGTCGAAAAAACAATGGCCAGTATGACGTACTGCAACGAGCTGACCACGAAAACGGTGTAATTCTCGTAGCAGCCCGCGCTCGCTGATTCCTCAACGAGAGCATCGTTTACATTGGCGTCGAACGGTACGAACCATTCTTCATTTCTCAGCTCCCAAAGACTGTAACATTGTAACAGGCCGACGAGCAGCATCTGCGACCCGAGACCGAGCATCGTCTCGGCGTTCAAGAGGCGATCGGTGGGTGGCCTCCGGTGCATCGGACTGTCTTCCTCGTCCAGGGCCTCGGTCTGGCCGAAGAAGAAGGCCAGACTGGATATGACGAAGAGATCGATGTAGAGGAACTGAACGTCCGTGAGATTCGACTCGACCGAGTAGAGCAGCAGCACTGACAGGAATTGGGTGAGCGAGTAGGCCGCCATGTACTTGAACAGGCCGAAGGACGTGACGAGGGCGGCGCGGCCCTGCCTGACGACGTCGAGGACGCACGCGATGCTGTCGCCTCGACTGGTGAAGGGCGCGGCGATCGACGACTCGCTGTCGGACAGCGAGATGCCGGCGTGGGCGACTCGCAGCGCGCCGCAATCGTTCGCGCCGTCGCCGGTCATGGCTGCAGAATGAAAACAATTAAAAGAACGAATGATGAATTTAATTTTACTTGTATTTTGCATAGCTCACCCACGCGATAGTCGAGATTTTGTAGTTCTTCCACGAGTTGCTGCTTATGATCGGGTGACATCCTCGCAAAAACAGCCCCACGTCGTATTACATTATGAAGCCCTTCTGAACCTTTTATTCGTTTCAATTGCACCCACGTGGATCCGGTGAGCGAAAATACGACATTATTTTTAGTGAGACATTCTTGATTCGCACTCCTAGAGTAATCAGTATCCAACGAGAATTCAGATTTAGTTGAAGATTTTTCATCCGAATGATTCGTAAAATATACATTATTTGAACATTCATCGATGTTGACTTTAACGACCCGCGAATCGGCACGGACGATGCCGCAATTTTTGGCGACCGTCAAAGCAGTTGATTCATTGTCACCGGTGACCATGACGACTTTGATCGCAGCCTCGTTCAGCTTATCTATCACGCTGGCAGTCTCGGCTTTCAAACGATTCTCAAAAACGACGAAGCCCAGAAAAATGAGCGCCGATTCGGCCTCGTCGCGTTCCATCGTTTCGATATTGCGAGTTGAACGCAGGGTCTTGAACGCCAGGGCGATCACTCTGTAGCCCGCCGAAGTGTACCGATGAAGGATACTATTGTAATCCTCGGGTACTACAGAAGCAACGAATAAATGTAGCGTTTTTACGAGCGTTAAGTTCGTTATAATTGATAAGAAAAAAAACTTACCAGTGTCAGCTTTCGACAGGCTCAGAATAATTTCCGGACTTCCTTTGCAATAAACGCAGTATTCGTTCGTATCCGAACGTTTTGATACGACGCTCATTCTCTGCAGCCCCGAGCAGAACGAAAACTGCTTGACGACTCCAACTCGCGCGAATCGATAGGGTGATTCCACTTCCATGCAAGATAATTCGGACTCGCTGCTTCGACTCAGCTTCCATCCGGTAAATTCGAACATCTTCAAATCGAGCGGATCCCCGAGCGACTGGCCGTCGATCGTCACGATGGAGTGACAGCTGGCCATACCGATCGTCAGATGCTCGTTCGAATCGAGCTCGCGCGATGATGCATCGATAACGATCGGTTGAAATTGGCGGGTGTCACCGTTGCAGGGAACGACTCCTCGCATGCTGAAGTCCGGCTCGGTGAGGGTGCCAGTTTTGTCGAAGCAGACGCAATCGATCGAGCCGGCTACGTTGATACTGCGCGGACTCGTGCAGAAGATCCGTTTCGCCTCCAGACGTCCTTGCGCGACTGTAAGAAAAAAAAAATACATTTACAGCGAGTTGATACAACTCACAATTTTTTTAATATATTATTTTACGAGCTTACCAATTCTCCCGATACTCATGGCTGCGGGCAAAGCTGGCGGCACCACGATCGTTACGAGATCGAGTGCATTGAGTATCACATGATACAAAGGTATTTCTCTTGCTAATTTTGTCATAAATGTGTACGCGACTCCGAAGCAAGCTACGATCGCCAGTAAGCCAACGAACTTGTACGAGTCTTGCTCGAATTGGTAATCCAGCGGCGGTGGATACAAAATCGAGCGTATCAATTTGCCCTTCGTCGTGCTAAAACCAGTGCGAAGAACGATGGCTATCACCTAACGAGAAAAAAAAAGCAATCAAAAATCAATTAGCTTGTGTAAAGTCACTCATTTTGTACCCGCTCGCAACCGATGTTTTTCACTTGCAAGATTTTCGTGCCGCTGTAAAGAGTGTGCCGAGCGTGCTTTTTGTCATCGTAGAGGTCGTGATTCGCTGCGCTGCGTGAAGTGCTGGTTTTTACAAAGGGCAGTGACTCGCCCGTAAGCATGGACTCGTCGACGATGCACTGGCCCTGGATCAAGAAAGCGTCGCAGGGCATCGAACTGCCAATTTGAGAGGATGAAAGAACTATCACGTCGCCGGGTATCAATTCTTTGATCGGTACTGTTCGAGTGTTATTCGAAAAAGTGTTGTAAAAAAGTGTTATCTCGTCGTTGGAAGACGACACCGTCTCACGGAGCTTTCGCTGATTCTGAAATTAATCAAAGATCATGGACTACGAGGCACTGTCTCATCGTGTCTGAAAGTTTTTTCTTGCATACATTTTGCGTTTGCACCACTTCCGCGACGATGCTGCAACACGAGGTAGCTAAGATAACGAAGGCGTAACAGTAGTAACCGTCCAAGATCCACAAGCAGAAACTGAACGCCTGAAAAATGTAAAACGGATCGAGAATTTCGCTTATCAATAGAGTCGTAAAACCGTCGCTCGGTAAGCTCAGCTCGTTGGGTCCGTAAACGTCGCGTCGCGTCGACCGTTCCGTTTCCCGAATGCAGCCGGATTTACCCAGTAGTCCCAGATCGTGGATGGTACTGTCGCGGTCGAGGCCGCTCAACTTTTCGAATTTACCTTCAAATTCCTGGTAGACGTAGGTGAGTTTTTTGAACTCGAACGAGAGGGAGTATGCTAACGGTGAGATTTTAAGAAATAAATGAAGAGTTTGTAAAATAATTAGGCATTATTGTAAGAAATTCATTTAAATCTTACGGGTGAATGATCGATAGTGATTCGCATTTTCCGACATGCTGTTTTTTTTCTTTTCGATTTTCCTGACATGATAAGTCGTGTGTCTCGACTGAAAGCGGTTCACAAGTAAAACCGAGTCGGCATCGTAAAAGCAACACTTATCATGCGTGAATAATAATTGAAAATGAGGTAGCCAGTAAAAAATAAGTTTCAATAATCCTCCGCTCAACCACATCAAATAGTACGCGACGATTTTTCGTACTGCATTTTCCTTGTACCTGTAAATATTAAAATAAAAAGTGAGACTGGGTAAGCTTTGGTCGAGGATTGGTTATACGAATTTAATACTCACCCATAGACTTCAGTTATTCCGTCGTCTTCCGTATCAATTTCATTGATTTCATTGACTTCGTGCTTACAAGAGTCACGAGGGTTTTGATTATCTAAAATACAAAAAAAAATTTTATTTGAATTGTGATAAGTGGTTGTGCGGGTATTAAAATAATAAGATTATTGAACACTTACTACTGCTAAAATATCCCATCAGATAATTCATGGCTAATTTAACGATATCTACAAAACTCATATTATAAGAAATATTTTTTACAAATAATCGATTATTAGATACACCACACTCACTTAATTTCAAATTTTATATGCTTAAAATAACTATCATGCACAATTTTTAACGCCACTACATTATCGAGAATTTTCATTACTTTTTTTTAGCACTATCTAAACGGTCGGCGGTCAAGTTCAAGTCTGACTGTTGATACACTAAGTAATAGCTAATTTGCAGACGACGCAAGAATCTTCACGTTATGTACCGGCGCAGAGCCAACTTGGCGCACGTGTTACAGACACACACACACGCAGTTAACATACTTGAGAATGACGTTGAATTAATAAATGTATTATAGTATATCGTTTCAAACGTTGTAGAATCCGGCATATAGCTTAGAGCTTTTTGGCACCTAATAAAGTCGCGTTGATTATGTAGCGGAACATTGAGAATAAAATAATTTTATTTCGGCAAAACCAACAACGAATGGGACGTCCAATGTTAATCAGTTAAATTGTTCAATTTCTAATTCGCTGTAAAAGTACTTGAACGCACATTATGCAAAAACCAACTCACTAGGTGGTCACTATGGTAAAATATCTCAGCTCGATCAAAGAGATCTTTTTTTGATTTTAGTGAAATATGAACGAGCAGCTTTGTCCGACTCTTGGACTTAAATCAGAGAGCATAGCCGGGAGAAAATAACGGACCACGTAGAGTAAAAATAAATCCAGCGAGCCGGTATTTATATACTCGTGCTTCTGATACCCTGCCGCTTGCAGGAACTGTCATCCGCAAAGCGACATCTAGGGGCAGATCGTCACAGAGTGCTTATTATGCAGTATACTTTGCGAGCATGCTAGTGGCACAGCGCCTATGAACAGCGGCCGATATTGCCAAGTTAAGTGGAAAATTAAAGAAAAACTTTTGCCTCTTGTTAAGCTCTCAAATGAAGTTTTTTAGTCTGCCGATGACTAAAATTTGAAGGACTCTAGTGTATCATAAACATATTTTAATTCTGACCTAATCGGAGGAGAGGAACAAGTTTATTTTTGGATTTTTATGCTATTTTCTGCTATTTTATCATATATAAGGGTTTCGGATGTTGTAAATATGATTTTTGAGTACAAATTTGAATTTCACATCAAATTTTACATTAAAAATCATGATTTAACAGTTTTTTAATATTCACCCCAGAAAAACATAATAAAAACAGAAAAAGAAAATTCAACTTTAAGGTCCTGTAGATTTCAGGATTTTCACTTTTCGTTGTACTCTTTAAAAGTACATGATTCAAAAAAAAAAAAAAATTTTGTGACCACCACGCTGACTAATTGAAAATCTTATCCTATTCATATTTAAAAATAAATGCAAATATGTTTGAGTTAATAAATCTCGCCTCTTCAAACAATCTATGTTCCACCCTGGACACACTGAGCGAGTGAAAATTTACTTGTCAACATGGAAATGTTCTATGGTCATCACTTCAATTCACCGCTTTCTAATCGTTTTTGGGCAAGCTGCTTTATTGCTTTCCAAGATTTTACAAGCAATTTTATGCCAAAAGCTGTTTCTTCAATTCGATGCCTCCTAGCGGCAAGATGCCAGTTCACAGAGCAGAGCAGCATCATGCCAGTTCAGAATTTATTCGGCAAGATGCTACTTTGGCGTGCCGTTCGGCAAGATGCTGCTTCAGCGCTGCGTTCAGCAAGATGCTAGTTCGTGGCCGCGTTCTGCAAGATGCTACTTCGAGGCCCATATAATAAAAATAATAAAAATCAAAACTAGACTGTAGATTATACTTTGCGAAGACAATTAAAAACTGTGCACGATTTAATTTTCAAAGAGTTAAATTCGCACCTTCATAGAGTTATGGAATTTTGCAAAGTGTAATCTATAGCCAAGCTTTGATTTTTATTATTTTTATTATATGGGCCTCGAAGTAGCATCTTGCTGAACGCAGCGCTGAAGCAGCATCTTGCTGAACGGCGCGCCGAAGTAGCATCTTGCCGAATAGATTCTGAACTGGCACGATGCTGCTCTGCTCTGTGAACTGGCATCTTGCTGCTAGGAGGCATCGAATTTAATATTTTATTTACTATTAATTTAATCAAACGATTGATTGAAGCAATGAAACTTTGGTAAAAACAATTAAATATTTTGTTGGATGAAATAAAAAATGATTAATTCAATGAAATTATTTCAGAGATTGTATTTAATTAAATATTTCATTGAATCAATGAATTTTTTTTCTCAGTGTATTTATTGTGCATTTTCAATAACCGTAAGCCATACCGTTATTAATTTTTCTGAGAAGTCAGATCAAATTGACCAATGTGTATATCAAGTACCGTGATCGACCGTTAGATGGTTTAATCTTCTATTCCAAGAAAACCCCATTGCAAAGTAATAAAAATAGAGATATATTATAGATAAAAATAGAGATATATAATAGAGAAGCGGCAATCAACATCATCCCTCAAAAACTTTATTGAAATTTTAGTAAATTTATTGAAAAAAATGTACTAATTTCTATGCAATAAAGTACTAAATAATACATGCTACATCTCCGCGTTAGAAATCATTTCCTCGCTAAGCGAATCCCTATATTTCTCCGTTTTACTTCGACAAATTCAATTATCAGTCTGACACTTTATGATTAAATATGCCGCGAGTTTGGGAAAAAAAGTACTTAGCCGACCACTTACAAACGTTATACACTTCCCAGCTTTTTTATCATCTCGATATAATAATGTGCTTCTAATGTGTTTTCGCGCCCTCGCTTTCGCCGTCTGCCATTCACGGCTGCCGCGCCGACCCCTTCGTGAAATGCACCGCATTACACGTGTATATTTAGAAAGGAATTGATTAATAGTCGTATTATCGCGTAAACTCAAAGTCTTCGTCATTCGATATGCTTTTTTCGGCGCTGTTTGATCAGTATTTTTCGTACAAACTAAATATTTGCGCGCTTAGTCTTAAAAACGTGCGAAACGTTACCGGACAGGCTCGAATCAAATTTCGAATCGGCTTTTAGTTTAAAATATTTGATAACGCGGTTCGCGCATATTTTTCTCATTGTCAAAGGTCAATTCCTCGACGGAATTAACAGCTCGAAAATGAAAAAGCAAATAGGAACGAGAGCAACTATACACGCGGTTATACTGTTATTTATTAGCCGATGGGAGGAGCCGAAGGTGGTAACCTGCGCGCGAGCTACCAATGGAGCGACGTCATCAATCATTCGTACATCATAATCGGAGCTATCGATCGACGATTGCGTAAGATGTTGCCTAGATGCTGTCGCGTAAAAATTGTTGTAAACGTTTTTTCAAAATGTTACACGAGAGCAGGGAAATAATTCGAGCGAATCGAGCCAATTCTGGAATTCTAGAGCTAATTTTTGCCACTGACGGTTGAGTACAAAAAATTTTAATTCAAATAGCGAGTAATGCAATTCAACGAATTAATCAAATCAAGACGAATGAGGTATTGAGCATGTCGTTGCAGCCGATTTTTGACGCGCAGCGCAGCAATCGAGGCGTGGACAATCCGCACGAGATGCGCTCAGCAAGCCGCGCCTTCTTTCCAGAAGTGGCTTCTCTTGTCGATCGCTCGCTCGAGCGAGTGGGAAAAAAGCATGATGCGGTGGTGGTGGTGGTGGTGATGATGTCCGCAGCATCTTACCCAGCCGCAGCGACTTGCTGTAATACGCGCACCGCACGCTGAAACTCGAGCGAATGTTGCCAGTGTGTAGTCGAGCTTTAATTGCCGATTTAGTCGATGTGTTTATAGCGTCGTAAGCTGCTTCGTTTCGTCTTCGCACAAAAGTACAACGATGATTCTCAGATCTTAGAAATTCGCGAGTTAATTTGTTCTTTTCCGACTCAAGTTTTAAACCAAAGCAAAACAAAGAATGACGGAATTACGATCGGAAATGCAGCAATGGTGCGGCTCTAGTCCAGAGAATTCGATGTCGCACTGCGGTGACATCGACGTGCTCGACGATTCTTACTCCGAGTCGGAATCCAACAACGATAACAACGTCCACGTCACGACGACGACGAGGACCAAAGACAGTGAAATTTTGAAGAACACATCGACGACCTTCACCATCGAGAGTATATTGAATCGCGACTGTGAGAAAAAACGTGAAAATTCAGTTGGCTCGTGCAGCGATGGTCATTTCAGCGGTAAGTGAGCGTGCGCAATTAAAGGAAAAAATACCCTTATCGATATCATTTATCATACGATGATTATCCGAGCATTAATTGCAATTTTTTAATCTATTCGCACAGCTTCACCGAACGCCGTATCGTATTCCGCGCTCAACGTCAATTCGTCCCAGAACAGCAGCTCGGTCGATTCCACCACGGTTTACACTACAGCCTCGTTGGCCTCGGCCAGCGTGCTCTACAACAGCTGGCTCGTCCAGACCAAACCTGGACAATTTTTTGGATTGCAAGGTAAATCGAACTTTCTAAAATCTTATACATAATTCAATGCAAAAATCGATGGCAAATCGCGTATAAAGAGACTCTCGATCCCACGTAGGTAATTCGCACGTGCGATAATCCATTAAATCACGCGATAATCATTCAACGTCGTTTTGCAACAATAGACGAAATAAAATGTGTTTTATTCGATCGTTTGTACTCCTACGTCGAGGTGAGAGAATTCCATTAACGTCGTCACTTCGTGCCGTGTCCAGCTATTAATAATCTTATATACCGAGCTTCTGCACGCGAGACAAGCAAACGTGCAGGCCGTGTCTCCCATTAGTTCTCGGTCAATTTTTTATGTTTTTTTTTTTTTTTATGAAAGTCTGAGACTTCATAGAAAGTAACGATTAGGAAAATAATGTTTAAATATAGGAAAATTCAACGTTGATATTACTATTTTGCATCTCACAGCTCGCTCGAGCTGGTCGGACTTAGTCGGCGGCTTTTTATTTGTTTTCAAAGAATCAAATAATATTTTCGGCACACGCACCGCGCTGCGCGTCCCTTTCTTTTTTCAATGAAATTTCGCGCGCTCGTTATGTGCTCTCTCGATCGACAAAGGCGTGTTGTGGGATAATTGTTCGCGTGTGCGCTAAATACAATATACATCCGTAACGAGCGTTCGCGGACGCGCTAATAACTCGTGTCAATCGGCAAGCATTAAACATTTTCGCTCGCGGGCACTAGACGCTGCTGCTGCCGATCGTGCCTGGACGATTCGTCGCGTTAAACTCGAGACTGCGAAATGAAGCCGTAAAGATAAAACTGTCGCGTTTAAAAAAAAAGCACACATCGAGTGTTATATAGCTAGAAGCTGAGCTCTGAAGCGAGGAAGTGTCACATACACGAGCAGAATTCGTTTACCGATATTTAGCACCTATGTAGTATATCTCATTCTCGTCTCGCGCGCGCGAAGAGCCAGTTTAGCTAATTTCTCAAGTGGTTTCCGAACAAACACACGAAAGGCCGGCCGTTCACGTGTGCGCGTCCGCGCGCTGCTCTGCGGTGCACTAACTAGTTCCCGAACAAAGCCTGCTGCTGAGAGCTGGCCGATGCGAAGTGTTTACCAAGCGATTACGAGAACATAAAGATAAACTTTTTCTCTCTCTCTCTCTCTGTCTCGTTGCTAGCTTATACACACGTCCACTCCGAATTAGCAACTCGGTAAATTGCGCCGTTCGCGACGCATGGACATTTTCACGAAATGTAATTTCCAGAGAAGAAGGTACGAATCTCGTTTTCAAATTTTTTTTTTGTTGTTGACTTTTTTTAGCACCTAAGCCGAGCGGAAGGCGTACGCGGAAACCGGGCATCGATAGAAAGCCGAGGCAGGCCTACAGCGTCAAGCAATTGGACAGGCTCGAAGACGAATTCAAGGTGAGAATTTTGAGCTGTAAATGTCCTTAACTTCCGCAAAGCTAATTTAATTTTCGAACTAAATACTGGAAAAAAATTGCAATTCTCGTTGCGGAAATTCATCTTTGTAAAGCACACAAGTATACAAATAGTATGCTGATTTTTATCGTTTTAATGACACCATAAAATCTTTTTTTCCTTAATATTCTTAACAGTTACGAATTATTATACCCAAATAATTTTTTAATTTTATCGTCAACCAATCCTTAGATCGACAAATACTTGAGCGTGAGCAAACGCCTCGAGCTTTCCAAGTGTCTCGGTCTAACAGAGGTGCAGATCAAGACCTGGTTCCAGAATCGACGCACCAAGTGGAAGAAGCAGCTGACGACGCGACTGAAATTGGCCCACCGTCAGGGTTGGCTCGCGCCCCATCAAGCACCGACCAATGCAGCCGCAGCCGTCGCCGCCGCCGCCGCTGCAGCCCATCATGCCGCTTATTTTCCCGTCACCGCCGCCTCGGCTCATCAATACTCGACTCTGCTGCCGTATTACGTTGCCAGCGCGGCGGCGGCGGCGGCGACGTCGTCATCGTCGCCGTTCGTTTTCGCGCCGCAACCAGACGACGCGAAGGAGTTAAATTAAAAAACAAAACAACAACCTCGCGGATCGATCGAGGCGCCCAATGTAGATACGTAAATAGAGCTAATTAATCATCGCGATTATTACCTTTAACTGACGGGTATGCCATATACATAATTATTACATGTTTCAAGAGTATATAACTAACGTCTAAGCTGTGTATGTGGCATAATCGTAGAAAATATTCTCTCGTGTAATATTTATCCTTTTAATTATAAGCACTCGTTATATTCCTCGAGTAATTAAGCGCGAATAATTAGTGAGTAATTTTAATGTAAGTAACACGTTGTCTGTACATATTATAGTCATAGCCGAATACATAACGCTGAATAAACATGATAAAATCATCCGTTTGTTTTTTTTTTCTTTGCGCTGCGAACGATTTCAATCCATTAGGATGGACTCGAAGAAATGCGGTATTATTGAGTCCAGACAATCACTTATCAATCATCAATTATTCAACGGCGAAAAAATTGAATGTAAATTTGATACAAACTGCAGTACAGCGTTTTCAAGTAAAAATGCTGCTATGTCTGATCGATCACTATGTGCATTAAGGAATGAGCGTTGAAAAATTAAAATTAGACCGTGTAGGGTTTTTCTCTCCCCGAGCGTCAGTGAAAAAATGCTATCTAGATCGAAACGTCGGCTATTATTTTATGTACTACTTCAATTTGAATTTAGTGCATTCGCAACAAAGGTGGACCTTTTTATACGAACGAAAAATACAATAAATGTGCCAAGTGAACTTATGAATACCTTGAGAGCGAATCGGGTCGCCGTGTTCATGCAGAATTTCGAAAATATCACGACCAGCGATGCAGACCTAAAAAATATCGACGAGCTCGTAAAGTCAATCTCAACGAAAAAATCGATTCTGATCGTCGAGGCTTCAACCTTGAGAAATCCTAAAAAATATTTTGGTTCAGGGGGTGATATCGATTTGCAGAACGCGAGGTCCACGACGCTATTGGCATCGATATTCACGTCAAATCATTTTGCGCCGTTATTCAAACGAACGATCGATTTCGTCTGCGACTGGTCGGATAATCAAGTGAGGCCGTACTTTTTGTCATTTATGGTATCGGAGAGCTCGGTCCATTTGACCGATGATCTGTTTAAGTACGCTTGGGACAAAAAGTTTTTAGACGCGACGAACGTTGGGTACTCGACGATAAATAATACAAAGTGTCAAAACGATGTTTACGTGCAAACCTACAATCCGTTCACTAAGAAAAATTTATTGGATTGCTACTCAGCATCATCGACAAAGTTATTCCCTGACAAGTTGAGAAATTTAAACGGAGCCAAGCTAAAAGTGTCTGTAGTACGTCGACCACCGTCGGTAGATTTCGATCGAGATGCGTGCCAGAGACCCATCAACGTCGTGGGCACCGACATAGCGACCATAAGAATAATCGCCGAGTACATGAACATCTCGGTGGAGCTAGTAGCGCCACCGATCAGCGGCTACGCTCAGAAGATCAACGACAGCGTAACTCTGAGTCTCCTCCACCTCATCGCCGACGGCAGCATCGATTTCAGCGCCAATCAGGTGTTTTACATCCTCATGGCTCGATCTTACAACGGCCACCACGGATTGATCTCGAAGCTGATCTACTTCGACGATTTCATCGCTGTGGTGCCGATCTTTCCCGATCCGATTTGGCATCTGAGACTCGGGCCGTTTTTCATCGTCGTCAGCATCATGATCCACGTGACCGTCATCTACTTGTGCGTCAAGCTGTGTCGATTCGACGTGCAGCGTTTCTGGTCGCCCCATCGTATCCTGCAGATGCTGCTGGCCAGTTCGACGCCGAGCCTTCCATCGCGACTCGTCGAGAGATTCGTGTTCTTTCTGATCTTCGTGCTGGCTCACGTCTACTCGGCGATGTTGTACTCGCAGCTGACGAGGATACGCCTGAACGCGATGAGCCAGGGACCCTTCGAGGAGGTGGCCGATCTTCGACGTTACCCCAATATCACCCTGCTGACCAATCCCAACTACATCAACATCACCTTGGACGCCACCGACCCGTTGAGACAAAAACTCCGCATGATCGAGAACATCATGGACTGCCCGGACGAGATACTGGCCCGGAGCAACGTGGCTTGCCTCATGGACAAGTCCGTGGCCACCAACAAGCTCGACTGGAGCTCGAAACGCGGCTCGGCCAATCGCATGAAGATCATGCGCCACGTGTTCTGGAGCGCGCCCAAGGGCTTCGTCTTCAGCTCGAACTCGCCCTACTTGCCGAGCTTCGACAAGATCTTGCTGCGGGTGATCGAGCACGGGCTATGGTTCAAGTTCCGGATTGACAACGGAGTCACCTGGCGGCGCTCCAAGTTCAGCGGCGCCGACGACGAGCTCGGATTATTCGATCACAATCTGAGTGCCAAGATGCTGTGGATACTGGCCACCGGCTACATCATGGCGACGATCGCTTTTCTCAGCGAGGTGATCGTGAGACTCGCCATGCAAAAAAGTAGATCGTCGACTCGACCACGGCGTCGTGCTACGTCGCTAAAATCGAGATAAAAATCGTATGCAGCATGGGTACAACAGTCGAGGCGACAAGTAAGAAAAAACAACAACAACAACGACGACGACGAGGACGACGACGTTTCGAGCCGCTGCACTACGACGCGCTCCGCGCGATCTTACGGTTCTCGTAATTATTTCGACTGCAGTGCATGCAGCAGCAACTTCCGGACGGTTGTTTGTGTACGTGTGCGTGTGTGTGTCTCTCTCTCTCTCTCTCTGTCCTTTTATATTACATTGTCTCTTGAGCATGCAGCCGTCCAACAAGTGCTCCTCGCGCCCAAAGCCATGTTTTTTATTATTTCTTGTTCGTCGATAATAATATGGCTGACTTGCGTGCTCGGCGAGGGTGCGCGCGGCCAAGAGTGCTACGACGACGGCAACGAGTTCTGCATCGATCAGAACGACATACTGTCGGTCGATCTGCTGCCGGGCTCGTTCATCATGATGGATCAGTTTTACAGCCAGAACAAGTCGAGATCGTCGAGCGAGGGAAGCGACAACAAGGAGGACATCGACGGTTCCTTCGTCACCGCCTTCGACGGCATGAACTATCACAGGTAAGCACTTGACGTGGATTATGTTTTTTTTAGTTTTTTTACATTTAATTTTCAACTATCTCTGGCTGTCTTTTTGTCTCGACGACGACGATCGCAGAAAGAGAATGAACGAGTACCTGTGTCACGGCTTCGTGGCCGAGGAAATTTTCAAGGAGGTCGGCCCGGCTCGAATAAAGCGTCGAAACAACGATCAGAGGCGCAACTCGCTGACGGACTTTCTCGGCAGCAACGATCAGAACGTCACGGTGCACGACAAGCTGCTGTCGGACGAGGGTAGCAAAAAATACAAGGACTGGCTTCACAAGTTGGTGACACATTATTTTGCAATAAGCGATAGATCCTACCATTTTGGCATTGATATTTTTGAGTGTAAACATTTTTCGGTCTGAAGAGTTAACGCGTAAAAGTTGAAAGAAATTTAAGGATTATTATCTAAAAATTCATTTTATATCGAAACAATATTTATTGTAATACAAACTGTCATATTTGATTCTGAGATTTTCGATTTCACCAACAGATGGCGTATTGTGAACTCGCGATTGTCAAAACAAAGTTCCATTTCATATAAATACATCATGATACTGATATTAATTTTTTAGATTTCACTTTTTTTTAAAATTTGGTTGAAAATGCTTATTTATCTTTTCATTTTAATGTAAAACGCAGAACGACGACGTTGGACGACATCTATCGTCATTACGCGCCGAACAAGGTATTCAAGAAGAAGCAAGAAATTCACGAGAATCTCGAGGACGAGGGCGAGATCGAGGAGTTCGAGGGCGAGCTCACCGGTTACACCGTACCGTCGCGCCATTCCGTCGGCAAAATTAGCAAGCCCGGCAAAGGTGACATCACTGCGCCATATCTCAATTTACACATCTATATACCGATCTATGCAGTACATTATTTCAGCTTGGTCTAACTCTGCTCTTCCGAATCCTCTTTTTCTCTGTTCTATGCCTCAAACGCTTTTTTTTCTGACAAAAAGAATTATTGATAGCCGATCTGTTCTCCGCCGGCACGGGCTACGGCGGCGGTGGCGGTGGAGGCGGCTATCCGAGCTACGGACCTCCCCAGGTAAGTTACGGGCCGCCGATGCATCATCCGCCGCCGCCGGCCATGCATGCCTATCCGCCGACCATACACGAGCAGCACATCCATCTGCCCGGCAACAATTATCACGAGATCGAGGAGGAGGAGTACTACCCGGTGCATCACGAGAAGAGCAAAGGCCACGACTTGACGATCAAGGACTTCTTCGAGATCGCCCTGACGGCTCTGGCTTTTCTGGCGTTCGGTCTGTTCATCATTCAGCTGCTGATGTACATACACGTGAGTAATCGGGCTGCGCGACCTTCGTTTCTCGATGGATCGACGAATGAAAATCAACGCGATGTTCCGTTGATTTTCCAGAATCCATTCAACACGACGACGACGGCCGCACCGACGGTGATAGCGGCCGATCTGGATCAGCGCTTCAAGCGTCAAGTGCTGCAAGCTCGGCCCGACGACCCGCTCGCCTTCGCCGGTGGTAACGAGGAGCTCGAGGAGCTCGCCCGACGCGTCATGCGATCGATCGAGGCCGCCCTCGTGGCCGACGCGGACCGCGGCAACTGTCTGCGACGCGCCCTCTGCGAGGACAATCGATACTCGCTCGATCGCGCGGACGGCCAGCGCATCTGGATACCCGTCTGGAGCCTGGGCATGAGCTGGGCGAGCGGTCGAGTCGTGGCCGCGCCCGGGCGCAAGTGGCCGACGATGCTGGACACCCTCAAAGCCAGCCTGCTGGGCCTCGGTGGCGCCGACTGCGCGAGCCTCTATCCCGACTGTCAGCTACGGAGGGAGCGTCGCGATCGCAAGCGCCGCAGGAGACGAAGAAGGAAACGTCGATGACCGACCGAGTATAGATGGAAGAGAGAGAGAGAGACAGAGAAGATGAGGCAGCAGCAGCGGCAGCGCGCGATATCGATCCGTTCGCGCGTGCGGATGTGGAAAGTAGGTCGAGGGGAGATTCGCGTGACGCTGTTGCTGCACACGTACCACCACGTTAGCCCATATATATATATATATATATATATATTTATACTCGTTTTATACCTGTTGCCGTGGAATCAGATTGTAATAAATATACTGCGAGAACGGGATGAGTGTTTAACGGAAAAAAATTTATTCGTTCCCCCCATCATCCGACGTGGCATTGCTTGAAATTGAAAAATCCTTGGGAAATTCCTTCTTCTTTCCATTCTCCTCTCATTGCGCTTTGGCATTGACGAACTCGTCGTAATTTCTCACCATCTCCTCGATCTGGTTGACCGTGTAAGCCGGCGGATCCCTGGATATGAGCTGCATCAGCGTGTAAGCGCAAACTCCCGACGGATTCACGTGAAAGACCCGACGCCGCTCGTTCGAGGGCAGAGCTTTGGCCAAGGGCCGACAGTTGTGCATAATGGGCTCGCCTTGACGATCGAGCAGTCCTTGAAATTTCAGCACCTGTGAATTATTTCGCGTGAGACTTCGGCACATCGTTTGGTATAGACACTAGCACACGGACGCCCGGACGGGTGGGAGGTCAACGAGCCTCTCGCAACTGGTCGTTACTGCGCGCGCTAACGACTTCCTCTTTCTCTCTGCGTACGTACTATACCTGTTCGTGGCTGATACCGAGGGGCTCGCGGCACAAGAGCCAGAGCACGCGTTGGCTCGTTTTGCCCGTCAAATTGCTCCAATAGACGAAGTAGTCCTCGGAGAAGGGCCGCAGCAGCTCGACGAACGGATAGCGCGGATTCAGATGCTTCGAGTCACCGGCTTTCTCGATCAGGCTCAGCGACGACGTTATGTTTTTGAACATCTCGTTGTCTTCCGGTTGCAGCTGTCGTGAATTATTAAATAAAAAAAAAGGATAAAGCTCTCATGCGAAAAGTTTGAACCTAGTAAAGGATTTTGCACTACTGACCTTAAAAAAATAAACCAAAATTATGACACCGTCGTTAAAACGCGACGCTTCCTCTTGATTCATGTAATCGGCTTTGAAATGGACGGCGTGCATCTCCATCGCCATGCTGTGAAATCACATTTCGCAGGAAATATTTTCTTATTCGAGTCGCGCAAGACTAGGCTCTCTTTATATAGATATATATACGCTCCAGCTGCGGTATTATATTCATAAGGAATTAAAAATTTTCTTTCTTATTTTTTCCCCTCCTATTTTATTATAAAAAACCGAGTGTATGCAACCTGTATGTATGTGTGTATGTGTGTGTGTGTGTCGGCTTGCGGTGTAAAGAAAACGAGTAGCTCCTCTTTTATTTTTAGACTTCGACAAAGGAAGATTATTAAAGAAGAGCGCGCGTATACTCGCGTGCGCGCGCGCGCGTAACAAGAACAGGAGTTTATTTTTTGGTTGAAAATATAATCTCGGTACGCGGTTAAAAAAAGAAAAAGAGCGAGAGAGAGAGCGTGAGCGAGCTAACGGAGGAAAATTGAAACTCTTCTTTTTTTTTTGCAAGCTCAACGACGTTGTGTCGTCATAAAGTTGCGCATCTTCAAAGCGCCTTTTTATCGAAAGCGCGCAAGAGAGAAGCGTCGTGATTATATTCTTTTTATTATTCGCGCGAAGATGCTCGCGCACCGCACACGCTTGTGTGTGTGTGTGGATATTAAACTTTTGGTTTCACTTTGTTTGTGGAAAAGAAAAAGGGAGATTCGTTTTCCCCCCTTAGCGAGATGTCATTAACGCGTGAGCTAAAGCGACAAAGAAACGCGCGTCGCGCTTTTTCGAAGAAAAAAAATATTTTCTGCGGTGGTGGCATTGTACCAACTTCCATCAACGTGATGCTCGCTTCCGACCATTTCGGTCTCGCCCCAGTGAAAGTGCAGCTGCGAAAATACGTATTTCCCAAACAACGGACCGTCGCTTATGTAGGGTCGCTCATCTTGCCACTTTGCGCTGTAGATCACTGCGCGTTGCGATGAGAGAGAAAGAAAGAAAAAATCTTGAAAAAATCTGCGGCTACTCAAACTTTCACGCGAAACTCTCTAATTAAGTTTTATACCCGTGTAGCCGGTATTAGTGAGCTTGATTTTCTTGGGCAATTGCTCGTGGTTGTACCACATAATAGGCGTCAAGCTGATTCTAATCATCTTGCTGATGTCCAAGTTGATCGGAGACTCCAAATGACCCTCTTGTTCGCTCGCCAATTGCACGGCTTTCATGCTCAGCTCGCAATCATTCTCGAGGTCCTCCTCTTCCTCCTCCTCTTCGAATTCGACGTCGCCCTCCTCGCCGCTGTTTGCGCTCTTATCGTCTTTTAGGTTGTTGCGCGAATCAAGAGATAATTTAGCAAGTCGTATCGTGATAATTGTATCAAGTTGAATTTAAAGTATTTCAATACTAACCTTCAAATTCCTCGCTCATGATGCCTTACAAAAATCCTCTTATTTACAATGTCGTTTCAGCAATCACCTGAAGTCACGCTAATCGCACAGTTGGTTCAATAAATAAATAAAAAAATAGGGTTACGTGCAAAAAGTCGGCATTTTGCAAACGCGTGTCATTATAATTAATTAAATTAAAAATCGAATGGATCACTCGCGTAAATTCAAACGCGGACCGCACTATCCCCCTTACATCAGGCTAACGAGGCGAGAATGTCGACCCATGGCGCCTTGCGCCACAGCGCAGCAAGAGTCGATCGAGGAGGACCACCGACTGGCCAATTGGAAGCGTTGGCTGAGGGACCGAGAGCGACGCCAAAAGTACCTATCGGCCGCGCTGAAACGCGAACCCTACGAGCTTGCACTCAACGCCTACGAGAGAGCTCGCGATAAAAATGAGACTGCTTGCGGTGACCTGGGAGCCAAGACCGTGGACAGGGTGGATCGAGTCAAGTACAGCAAGGAAGATCTGGATTTTTGGCGGCCACCTGAGAGATTGCACAAATACAGCGAGGCCAAGGGCGACGACGTGACGCTCACAGAGCCTCAGAGGCTAAGAAAATTGGTCGCTCCGAAGGCGAGGATCTCACGGATTCGGCGCTCGAATAATTGTAAATAAAACGCAGTTAGTATTTCCATTGATCGAGCTGATTAAACGATGCATATCTGATTCGATAAAAATGAATTTTTCTCCTTTCAGTATCGGTCGCGTTGGGAAATGACGCTACCTCTAGAAAAACGACCACTTGCGGAAACGCAGCGGCTGCCAGCGGAGACGGTTTGCAAATGGGCGAGCCACCCTCCGATTTGAGCTGCCGGAGTCTCGCCGTGATCGGCAAGGCGTTCACGCCTCCCGATTACGATAAAAAGGTCCTCCGTCTTCCCGTGATCACCGTCACCGAGCCGGAGAGGAAGAAGCCGCTGCTGCAGGATCCGGACTCACGGGCGGTGCTTCTGATTCGAGACCGAGAACTGGTCGCGGAAGGAGGTCGCTTCTTCGAGAGATTATCGAGGGTGAGGACGGAGAAATTGAAAAGAAGCAAAAAAGATCAGCACGCGAAGAAGTACGCCTACTCGGTCTACGACTCACACGTTTACAAAATTTTCGGCAAAGAACCTCCGCCCATCGTGTGGACTGTAAATTTTCACAGCAAGGGTGACGAGATATGTAAGAAATTTCTCAGGATCGAGAACAAGGGCGTTAAGATCATGACTTTCGACTGGCTGAGCGCTAGTCCCGACTGCTTTCCCGATATGCCGTATCGACGCATCGACAGTTGTTTTTTCTTCGATAAGACTTCTTTTAAAATTTATCCCGGTCAAGTATTGGATTTTCACGTTTTGTTTCAATCCAAAAAATCGAGAGTCGCCAGCGAGTTGTGGACCCTGCAAATCCAACCGCAAATATACCCGAGCCCAATTCAAGTTCGCTTATGGGGAATGTCCGAGGGCCTGGACGAAATTAAGCGCGAAAACGACAAAATCGAAGAAGTGACTGAAAAATTGGAATTACGAGTTCGAGACTCAATAACCCGAGAACTGGCTAATGCCCTGATCGACATGGCGACGAGTTGCCCCGTGATCGACGAAACGCCTTACGATCTCTTCTTCCTGGAGCGAGACATATTCCGAAGTTTGAATCGCCGCCATCACTACAAGTCCGTGCAGATCAATGAGCTGAAGTTCATGTGGCAGGAAACGATCGACGACGAGGCCACCAGCGAATGGAATTTGGATCTCGCGGATCTGCGAGCGGCTCTGCTGAATATCGAAGATCCTCTGCTGCAGCGGGACATGCTCAAACGATTCGGTGCTCTGTGCGACGAGTTGCTGCTGCCCGACAATACTTACACCCAGCCCTGTGGTTCGAGCAGACAGATGGTTTACTGGCTGCTCGGGGAATTTTTCAATGAATTCGAGACTACGAGTCACTCGGTTTGGCACGGCTGTCGTTTGCTACCGCCTCGAGACGACCACTGCGAGGAAGAGGAAGACGAAGGGGAAGGAGAGGAAGAAACGGCTGCGGCTTGCGGCGAATCGGACGAGGAGAAGGCCGCCCACCTACGCCTCTATCACGAAACTATGCACATGAGAATCTACGCATTACTTTGCCGAACTATCAACCAAGTTTGCCACGCTCTGGAATCCGATAATCTTTACAATAAAAACGACTGATTTTTAAATTTCAAAAGTGTTTTGCTTTATTTTTATTTTATTTTATTTTGTCGAGGACTTTCTCATTGGCGTTCACAGGTGTACAGGCACTCGATCAATGCACAACTTGGTAAACGATTCGATTGTGCAGGTGCTGTACCGGGCGCGCGTTATTTTTGATGTTTCTGTTACGATGGTTTTTCATTTTGCGAAATTCGTCGAGCTGCATGCCAGAGAGAGAGAGAGAGAGAGATAGAGAGAGAGAGAGAGAGAGAGAGAGAAGCAAGAAAAGAAAAAAGCGGCGTTAGTTTTTATTCGTGAAAGGAGGACATAAAATTTGATCGCGCACACCTGATCTGCTCTTATGGGTATCGCATTGGGAAACAGTATCCAGGTAACGCATTCTTGAAAATCACCGGCTGTTAGAGAGCCGCGATACGTAAAGTACTTGTCGGTATTTATATACTTTCTGATCCACATCAAGCAATCTAAACGGAAAAAAAATAAAGCGAGATAAGTGGCAATTTTTTCTTTGTGTCGTATAAAATTTAAATGCAAGAATCCCTTACTGGACTCGATTGTTTTTTTAGATTTGTAGTCGTGTATGTCCTTCAAATGCTCCGTGATTCTTTCGAGCAGCGCAAAGCTCGGGCAATCGATGTCATCCGTTACCTATATGATAGTCGAGTCGCACTCGTAGTAAATTCGCTTATCGATGCATTATAAAAGGTAGCTCTTACTATGAATAAAAATCCCAAGACGCAGATGCCATCTTCTTGCTTCAAACATTCGCTCATGCTGCTGTACTTTCGATTCCAATGCACGGCGTGAGCTTCCAGGCTGTACCAAGTGCCGTTGATGGTGTGCTCGGATCCTCGGCAATTGTCCTCGCCCCAGTGAAAGTGGAGGTTTTCGAATTCATACGTGTCCGACGCCAACGGGCCGTACTTGAGAAGCGACGGTTTTCGATCGCCACCCAATCGTATAACGGCTAGGCGTTATGAAAAACGTCGCAATAAATGTCGTGATTATTATTCTGAAAATTGCCAATGTCTTACGATATTCGCCGTTATTGGTAATGGTGGCCTCGCCATCTTGAAGCCAGTGATTTTCAAGAGTCAATGGTCGCGCACAAATTCGCACGCATCGAACGTCCTCGGTTTCTATATCAATAGGTGATTGTCTTCTTCTGTTCACAGCTATCAAAGTAACGAAATTTAATGGGTTAGGTTTTTTTCATGGCCATCTGATCGATATTTCATCATGTAATATTAAATTTACATTTCAGCTCGTTGTCGGTTAGCATCGTAGAATTTTCGATTTTTTTTATGTATATTTTTCAACTTTTTCTTTGTTTTATCACTTAAAATTTAGTTATGCCGTGAACGTGACTCTAAAAAATACAATTTGCACGGCCGACAGCTCATCGCGAGCCACACCCAGAACAATTGACAACTGATTGCGATTTTTGCTGAATAGCCCAATAAACTCTTCCTGTATAGCGAGTTCTCTGCAGAGGTCTGTAATTACTCGTGATATTTTGCATATCATAATCGTAAAGATCTCGAAAAGCTTCGCTCTGAAAGGAGTGAAAAATATAGCAAGGAAAAATATGCACGACGATAATGGCAGTGGGTACGCTAAATTCTGCTCACTTGTCTGTCTATAATTAAGATTGGACGCGGTACAATAATCCACTGAACGCATTCGGTAAACGGCTCGGTCGTGAGAGAGCCGAAGTAAGTGTAATAGCCCGCACTACTCATTGCTTGTTCCAACCAGTTTAAGCTATCTGCGATAAATATGGTACAGAATAATGTAACAAAATTGTTGAGTCAAACAAATTTATATAATAGTAATAACCTGGCTCGAGTGAGATACTGGCACCTGGTGCCCGAATTTTTTTCAAACCATCGCTTATCTTTCTGAAGCTATCACCTGCGCATGGATCATCTACTACCTAAAATTTCATACGCAAATTAAAAAGAACGTCCTCTCCTCTGTACATCATTTAATCCGAACTACAACCTGAAAGAGAAAAGACATTATTGCCATTCCATCACTTTTATCGTAGCACTTGTCCGGAGAGCCGTATTTCTTGTTCCAATGCACCAATTGAGCTTCTATCGAGTACCTGTCAGAAGTGAAAATGAAAGCGAGACGAAGACTTGCTTCGTGCGAATCATAATAGGCCATGTATATAAATACCATCGAGAATCAATAGAATGTTCAGAGCCGAGAGCGTCGCTCGGGCCCCAGCGAAATTGTAAATCGGAAAAAAGATATTCTCCATCGAGGGGTCCGCCTTTCAATAACGGAGTAAACTGGCTACACAATTCGATTTTAACTGTTTGAAAGAGAAAGCAGATGTATTAACTTATAGAAAATGTTGCTTCTATTTCGCTTGTCTCATAATGACCTGTTTTTCCGGTGTTCGTCATTTTGACGCATTTGGAATCCAAATGATTTTGCATCAATAATATCGGAAACTCCTGCGTCACGTGATTACTGATGTCAATCGGGGATTGATCCCATTTCGGATTGTTCCCACTGGTCGACGTCCACGGCTTTCCCGCTTCGATTCCGGGGCAAAACACGAATGCATTGTTAGAGCATACTCCAGCGTAAAATATGGCAATAAACGAGAGATTATGAGATAAGAGATTTCTTACTTGCTTTCGTTTTTTTGGTCATTATTATTTTTTTTTTTTTTTTTTACTATTTTTACAATTTTTATATTATCAAGTATTTAGAGGTTAACGCGGCTCTGAACACGTGTAATTTTTAACGACGAGCTGTCAGTGATCTGAAGTTATCGACGCTCTGGCCGTAAATACACCAACAATAGGGTTAATCCTCATTGTCTACGAACAATGCGGACACTTTTATCGTCTGCAGCATTATTCCTCAAATTTTGAAGTCAAATTTTTATTTTCGCTATCATCTAATAGCAAGTCGTCGTCGTCGTAGTCGTCGTGCTTGTATAGGATAATTAAAAGCCGCTCATGATTGACACGTTAACTCTTCAACAGACGTTGCCAGATATTTTTATCTTTTTCGGCGGTACCATATTCCTCGGTGAAGACCCCTTTATTTACTAACACATGTATGTGACGAAAAAAAATAACGAGCAAATGTTCCGTGTGCACCGCAGCTATGGTACTGATGCAGTACATCGACTGGTCGTGCATCTTCACCGCGTTCAATTGCCCAAAGAAAAATCATTCACGCGTGCCGTTTCTCTACGGTGAGGCGACCGGGCCGGAGTTCTGGAAATGCAAGTATCCGGAGTCGCGAGGGGTTCAGCAATCGCCCATCAATATCAACAGTCAAGACGTTTGCTGCATGAATACGGCTCAGCCGCTCTGCTGGTTCGGTTACGGAGACGAGCCCGCAACGATGACCATCGCCAACGACGGAAATACAGGTGAGATTCGGTGAGTTCGGGTTCACGAAACAAAAAAAAAATCAGCCTGACAGATTATTGACTCGTATCACTGAAACGATGCACCATCCCGCCCCCCCCCGTAGTCGAGATGTTCGGATACTGGCCCTGTCCCACTCGTCCGATGCTCAGAGGCGGCCCGCTGAGATGCGCCTACGAGTTTCACTCGGCCCTATTTCGCTGGGGTCCCGGCGATGACGAGGGCAGCGAGCACACCCTAGACTACGAGCGTTATCCCATGGAGCTTCAAGTCGTGCACGTGAAACGCGGCGCTGGCAGCTTCCAAGACATCACGGCTTGCAGAATCAAGGACGGCATCCTCATTATGTCATATTTTTTTCAGGTAAACCTTCCGAATCGATTGCATCTCGATAATATTAATGAAAGAAAATAATTCGCAAGGTGACGAGCAACGACAATCCGTATCTCGATCACGTGGTGCAAAATCTGCGCCGAGTCCGCTGCCCTGGCGCCTTCGTGCAGATACCGGCTTTTCCGCTCGAGTGGCTCTGCCCGAAATTCGAGAGCAAGTACTACCATTACCAGGGCTCGATATCTCACCCTCCCTGCAGCGAGATCGTCGTCTGGCTAATAAATCCCGAGCCAATTGCCATATCGGCTTCACAGGTATATAGCACCTTCGCTACTGCGCTCGTAATCTTTACTTCTCTCTTTCTCTTTCTCCCAGAAGGACCGATCGATTTGCATTTTTCTTGCAGATAATGGAATTTCGAAAGATCAACTCGATAGAGGGGCCGATACTGTCGAATTGCCGGGCCGTGCAACATCTGAACGACCGACAAGTTTTCTATTATCCCTGATATGTAAAAGCTCGTGTGTAACTGAACGGACAAAAAAAAGAACAAAGTATTTTATGAAATCAGTATGGTACAGTCGTCTTTGTCGTCGTCGTCGTTGCGCGAATGGGAAAACCTTGCTCTCGATTAAATTAAAAATGAGTCGTTCGGAGACTGAAATTACCATCGCAGCCAGCTGTGGAACGAGTGCGCTATATCGATCGTTTTTATTATATCTCAATTTACTCACCTTGACTCGGCGAGATTTTGCTCGCTTTCTCGCTTGTTGCCTCTCATGGATATCAGAGAGAGAGAGAGAGAGAGAGAGAGAGAGAGAGTTAATTAAGCTCCACCGGCTTCCTTGCGAGAGAAAGAAATTCCACCGTGAAAAAGAAGAGAAGCTTGAGGAGGAGGAGAAGGTTGCGGGCTCTATACAGGCAACATTAGCAATTGGGGGCTCGATCGGTTTCAATTATTGCCACTTAAGGCTCTTAATATTTTTTGATGGGTCTCAAAGATGACGAATGAAGATAGAAAACTTGAGAAGGCTTAATCCACAGAGAACAGAATCTTTATTTACTGCACATTAGCTTTTTTTTATACATTTTGTCGTAGTACGTTCGAGATACAAGCCACGGGCAAGTGTGTGTGACAACAGTATGTTGTTGAGACGTGATACACAATAGAGTGTTGATGCGCGCCCTCGCGCTTCTTTCATCGTAGGCATGTCCGATTTTTTTTCTAGATAACATACGTGTGGCACTCTAAATAGATTATAAACACATTGGACGATTTTTCGTATCTTTTTTTTTAGCTCTCGATGTTTTTATATAATTTTTCGTATCCTTTTTATCTCTTGATTTTTTTTATCGATGAATTTTATTATACAATGATTTAGTTTTGCGTTTAGTTTTATCTTCTTTTTTTTATTTTGTGTATCAACATTATCTACATGCTTTTATTGCAATTTCTTTTATTAAAAAATTAATACAGATTGAGATCTTCTTTGGAAAATAATTTGCCGTTGAGACATTTTGGCACAACGCAATTATAAACATTCATGATGCAAGAAACGACAGTCAGTATGAAAAATAAAATCGTCTGGCGATTTGAAAATTGTAAAACTATATATCGTATTCGCGTTGCTTTATCATGGCGTTATATTTTTCAATTGAGTTGCAACCGTTATTTTTTCTTATTTCATTTTCACAGCCGATTGGAAAATCAATACTCGTCAATTTTCATAGACTTTTGTTGGATGAAAAAAAAAATGTTCACTTACTTATTTTCGAGCTTTTCCACAATTTCATAATTAAATCATTACGTATTGTACGTATAACAGTTGAAATTTTATGTACATCGACGAATTTTGCAAAACTGTTACGATTTGAATTTTCGTTCGCGAAGAAAATGCTAAATTTTCAATCGTATGTGTATAATATGAATCGATTAAAAGATGTCAAATATTGTCATTTGATAATATATCTTCCGAAAATTACTCTCTTACGATTTTTCTCGGTAAAAATTTGTGCACAAAAAGTTTCGTACAAAATCTATGATCATATATACTATTGTTGAAAAATCATTTTAATTGAAATTGTCGTTTTTTCCTTCAAAGCATAAAAAAAATTGTTTTGCTTCGTTAAAATATAAAATTTTAACATTTATTTATACACAGTTTATTAATAATCATTATTTATTTATCATTTCATTCACTTATTTATTCACGTTTTGAAACTCGCACTTAAGCTTATTGATTATTTTAGAATTCGGTATTCATTAAATCGTTTTTTAATTTTTTTTCTCCATTTATCGTCTATGAAACATAGCATACATTTACATATAATTCATACACATAATTCACGAGTATATTACAACAATTTTCTTATTACTTATTTTAAAGACACACTCATATCGACGAAGCATTTATTTGTCATTATAACTATTTTAATATTCATTACGCGAATGATTCAGCGAATTACTAATTTGTTGACGTCCAATTATGGGCGATCAGAACACCGATAAAATTTCTTTAGTCGATAACATCTTTTATATTAACAATTGTTTCAATAGAGCAATAAAGTCAACCGCAGAATCTTCCTATGCACACAATTTACCTTTAAATATTTCTTAAAGATAATAGCTCCAATCAACATTTACACTTTCGTACAGTAGATGAAGTTTTTCACTTAGGGAAGAGCAGGGCCAGTAAGTATTAATTATATTAAAATCATAACGATCCGTATTTTCCATGAATGAACTGTCCTTTCATGGACGCATAGGTACAAGTATATTTGTATTTCGCGAGAAACAAGAGCCATTTAACTTGGGATTGGTGTAAATGGTAAATCCTAGGTTATAATTGTTCATTAATAGTAATTAATATTAATAATAATATTGATAATTAGTATTAATAATTAATTAATATATATATAAATAACGATCCAATTATTTGAATTTGATATACAAATTAAGCTATGCAAACACGAAATATTTTATTCGACAGTGAAAATACTTTAAACTCACTTGTCATATTGGCCCTCATACCAGCATGTTAAGCTCTCCCCTATGGTAATTACTTCGCTTAATCATATTGATCATCATAAAAATTAAAGTGCTACATATTAATTATACACTCATCTCAAACTCTGCTCTTTTAGCTACATTCCAAATATATTTTATTCTCACCGACGACCATGCTATAAATCCTAAAAATTCCAGCGTAATTTTTTATCGGATTCGTGCACGAGTTTCGTGTAATATCGTTCGACAAGCGAAACAAAAAAACTTGAGCACTCTAAGCGTCGTTCCACATTTTTTCACAATAAAATCGTCACGTACAACGAACAATGCTATGTTACTATATTTATAAAACAGAAGTGACCATGCTTGTATGACTAATTTAATAAAATTTATTGACTTTCACTTTACCTCTCGTTAAATGTATAACGGATAATATACATCATTTTTCTCTCCTTACCAACTCGAAAAGCAGAGAATCTTAAATTTTACCACTTCTCTGCGCATCTGTGTGTGTATATATGTCTGTATGTAAGTATAAGTTCCGCCACGGCAATTTCCTCGAGATTAAACGAACGAAAGAGAGAAATGAAAAAAAAATTATCTCGAGGAAGCGTTTAATTGGTGGTGCGCGCCGTGACGGAACCCCGGGCCTATCTGACGCTTCCAGAGCGGCTGTAATCGCGACGCGAGGCGCTATGCACGCTGCCCATGCGGCTAGCGCGACGCGAATGCTATCCGGCTGCGTGGCCGCCACGGCCCACTTTGCGGCACAGGCAGGCCGACGTGATGGTGCCGAAGATCTGCGTCGCGGACAAAAAGCAGAATAAAGACGAGAAATTAAAAAAAGTGGAATAAAATTAAATTGAATGGAAAAGAGGTAAACTATCAAGGACACGTACCTGCGTCAGGGCTATCACGATATCGAACACCAGAATGTATATACAATCGTAAGAAGCCCAACTTTTGATTTTCTCCAAGCAGCCCTGCAAAAGCGTAAAAAGTTGTAATGAAAATGTCTTGTTATTTTCTTGTTTACAGTTTGCAATACGAGAAATATTCATCGTGAAATTTAAAATTGAACAAGCTACTATACCTCTTGATTTCTGAAGCCTTCCTGTTCTATTTTCGATGAAGATTGACAACTCGATTCGTCTTTGGGTTGCGGTGCCAGCCAAGGTTTTTCGTTCTGAAATGAGACACGCATATATTCCTCTGATACATTCATTATAACTTTGAAATGAAGTAAAGAAATTCCAACTTACGTTCTTGTAAAATACCCTGGAAATGACGCTCATGGGGCTTCCAGTATTCTTTACCTGTATATACGAAAGCATGCAAATGAGATGAACAATTTGTTCTATCATGTTACAAGAGTAAAGGAAGATTTTTAATTAAAAAATAAAGTCTCATTTACTTTTATTACATAGCTCTAATTATTCTATTATTAGTATTATATTAGCTCTCCGAGAATAGCTTTTCAGGCTCACCTCATCGTCCTTGAGTACGCAGCATGTGGCCGGCACCTGAAACCTTTTCCCGGATAACTGACTGTCGCGCCACCAAGCTGAGCCATTGTAATCCAAATCGTTGTAAATTCCACAGCAATTGAACTGCGCGCGCGCGTCGAACGATGAAAGAGCACAACACAATGAAAGTGGAAAAAAAAAAGAAAGGAAGTTATTTTTGTCGTTTTATTAACTCATGTTTTGTGTCACTCTCGGTCAACGTCTATTTAAACAATAAATCCTTGCAATTTTATTTAGCGCGATTCGATAATAATAAAAAAAGAAAAAAAATAAGAAGAGAATAGAGAGACCCCAGAGTCGAGATTATACAACGCGTACATGTGAGCGCGTGCCAAGTTTATCAATAAACCCTGCATATTATATGTATATCCCGTGTCATATGCACCGGGTTTTCTCTCCGAGGTTTCTCACGCACATACGCGATACCTATAATCGAGAAATGGCAACATCAGCGCGCGAGAACGGAGAGGGGGTGGTGATGGTGGTGCAGCTGCTGAATAAGGCACGCTCCAGTTAGCTTTTGCGAAGGGGCTTAACAGAGAGAGAGAGAGAGAGAGAGAGAGAGAGAGAGAAAGAGAGAGAGAGACCGAGAGCTTGTACGTGCATACGTGTGAGAAAAAGAGAGAGAGAGAGAGAGAGAGAGAAAAGATGCTGCTGCCGTGACTATATCCTCGGAAGATGCGAAACAAGCTTCGGCGCGCGACGTTAATATGCGTCGTCTTCCGCATGCATTATACATACATACCTTAAACTGAGCGTAATCCAGACTGTGGGTGAATTTAATATCGCTGAGGCCGCCGTGGCCGTAATGCCCGTTCAGCCGCTCGGACATGCGCGACTCCAGGCCGCTTATGACGCGGTAAGTCACGATGCCAAGCACGGTCGACATCACGAATTCCGTTATCAGCATGGCTATCAGCATACTCATGTACTGTGTGGGGCAAAAAAAAGGAAGAGAGTCAAGAGCAGAATAAAAAAAAGTAAAAAAGCAGGACGAATATCCTCTCGGGTTAAATTTTTTTCTGCTTCGTTTCTTTTTTTTTCTTTCGTGCTTCTTTCGTGCGAAAAAAATGAAATTTCCTGCTTGCGTTATGCGTTGAAAAAAAAAAAAAAGAATTGATGAATTATGCGCGCGGCGCACATGCGTGAACGCGCTCGAAACATCCACAAAATATACGAAACTCCTCGCGTATATATTATGAATATTCATGAATGCGACGGCCGCACATACATCGATACTCGCAATTTCGTATTTGGAATAACTCGCGGGCGGGCTCCACGAGAGCCATCTGATCGGAATTCATATATTTTTCCTGCGAAGGGGGAGGTACTACGCAGGATACAAGGTAAACAATGCGTCACGCTATGTATATAGTAGTGCATAAAATATCTAACGAATCTATTTTTACGCTACATTTCGGTGGTGCACCCGCATCGTTGACCAGTATGTTTTTTACGCGTTTACCGCGCGCCGCAGAGCTTTTGAGCTTTCACAGTCTGGGTTGTGTTTCGTGCGCCTGTATTAAGTAAATTGAATGATGAAAGTGCACAGTGCACAACGGTAAGCCACGCTCGTTTGTACTGTGTATATAGTTTAAATAGCCGAGTCGACGATTAAAAGTTCGATTGTTTTCTCGATTAAATCGCGTCGCGGGCCCGCAAGTTTCGGCTTCGCAAGGCGTTCCCTGCTTGCTCTGGGCTTGCAAGGCACGAGGCTTTCGTCAAACTACTGTGTGTACGTTTGTGCGTTGTTGGTACGCGCGCGTAAACATCCGAATAACTTACACATCGAGGTGTACTCAGAGCACAATGGGTACGTGCGCGCGCGGCGCGTGACGTGTGTTTTACGTGCTTCGAAAACGGGCGGACACATACCTACGTAGCCTACGTGGGGTGCACAGCGCAAGACAACAAACTTAATTAAACTCAGGAGAGAGAAAGAGAGGGAGAGAGAACTTTCGGATGTTTGACGGAAATTAAAGCTTGCATTACGCATTACAGTTGTATTCGCTAACATTACTGAATTATAAATAATAATAAAAACAATACTCACGATAGCCAAGACGCACTGGCTTTGATGGACAGAGGCGCGACAGCCGAAGAAGCTCACCAGTATGATGACGGCGCCGAGGCCGAACAGGTAGTAGGCCAGAAGGTTGATGGTCTCGTTCGGGTTGTCGTCCGCCACGAAGAGATTCAGCAAGTGTGCCTTCGTCGGGTCCATAAGCAGCCAGCCGCCCGTTATCGCGACCATTAGACCCGTTAGCTGCGAGGGAGATTCATGATCGTTTTTAGTGGAAATTGATCGCGAATTAAGCCTGACGATGATTAAGAATTATCACCGATTAAGGCGCGTAAGGATCGTCTTACCCATATTAGCACGTTGAATGAAAACAGTATGGCTTTGAGATACTTCATTTCTGCGACCCACTACTGCTGCTGCTGTTGAAAAGTATCGTATTAATCTTACGAAATCAAATTAATCAACCGCATAATCTTTCATGGCAAAGCACAGCTACGGGTGTGGGAGAGAAACAAGTCAGACCATTCATCTAAGCGGTTTATTACCAACGAGTCTAGAGTACAGCAGCGGCACACAACATTCGAGTCGTTTAATTCCCCCGGCGTAATTGCGTTATAATTAGGACTACTTAACCGAGCGTGCATCTCGTGCGCAAGCTCAACGAGAGAAAACTCGGAATCGTAAATTCGGTGCTGCTTTTAGTTCTTTTTCTTTTCTGGATTTCCTCCCGTTTTATTAACCGTATGCCATCGACTTCGGTTTTCATGATGCTGCTGCTACTGCTGCTGCGGAATCGATGCACGCGATTTTATCGCGGTTATATAGAGCGCGCACCCAAGTTTTGAAAACAAATAAAGCCAGTAGCGAGAGAGAGAGAGAGAGAAAGGAAAATACTCCCTCTCGCGTGTGCAGCTGCTGTTGTATTACGGCTTCCGTAGGAGCATTCAAGAATCGCTTATCAACGTGCTCGAGTATGCTTGAAGAAATAAACAACGAGAGGAATCGAGAGAGAGAGAGAGAGAGAGAGAGAGAGAGAGAGAGAGAGAGAGAATAAGGGAAGGTGCAGAAAGCGAGAGAGCTGCGAACCAAGTGAAACACAAAAAAGCTCGACGTTGCGCTGCTGCTGTCTGATTTTATACGTCTCTCTCTCTCTCTCTAAAATATCAGTTGTTCAAATATAGCTATCGACGTGGCGGTACATTGTGTTTACTTCTGGAACGCAATAGCTTTTTACAATATCGTTACTTAATGCAAAAATATACTCGACATAAATTTCAAGAAAAATTTTAATATCGACTTCGTTGCAACAGCTGCTGCAAAGGGCTGATTAGTGACGCCACGACGACAGAGAGAGAGAGAGAGAGAGAGAGAGAGAGAGAGAGAAAATAGTTCCGAAGATTATGCCCATTAATGCATATCTATCGCATACTTTCGTACACAACTCCTCTGACGTGATTACAAAGTTATTTCCTTTGTGATATCGTCGGCCGATCGTCGACAAAGCGGCGGGACTTTACAAAGAACTTCTACTACCGCGTGTTACGTCTTCTCTTTATTTATTCGTGGAAAAATAATGAACTCTCGACTGGCTGTGTAGTGCACACAGTTATTTGAGTTAGCCGCGGATACACAACTAAATGACAAAGCCGCGCGGGAAATTCGATTATTTTTACCCCCGCATGCGATGCCGGTGACTGCTGTAAATCGACAATCGATCATCGACTTTATTCTCTTTCAGTCTCTTGCCATGTTAATTGATTTCATTCAACCCCGCGATATCGTTTGGCCCATCGAACTTATTCAAATAGCCTTTTAAATTCCGAATCAGAGCTCTCTTCTCCTCTCTCTCTCTCTCTCTCTCTCTGTTATAGCTCTCCGGGCGCAGAGCAGCATTGAGTTATTGATTATCGAAGTATTTGAGAGAAAAAGAGAAAAATTGCCCGTGGATCGCGACACGACACGACACGACACACATTATAACACAAGCGCGTAGCTCGGAGAAATGCTTTCGATCATTTCTCTTTGCCTTTGTGCAGGTAAAAAAATCTGTATGTTCTGTACAGGAAGGGAGGGGGAAAAAATTGCCTCGACAACGTCACGAGCGTGCGCACGTATCAACAAACAAGAGCATTTGTTTAGCTTGCATACTGTGTTTGAATTTCTCACACGATACTTGAGCGCGCGCGCGAAACTTACCCGCTCAGTTGAGAAAGAGAGATCATGTGCTGCGAAAAAGGCAAGGCCCCCTCAGGCTAAAAATCGTTCGCTTATAACTGATTTTTCTTCGCAACCGACACACAATGTGTGAGCTCGCGTGTAACACAATCGGAGCTCCTGAGGCACGGGAGACGAAAGAGTAACAGTAAAAATAGATAAGCCGTAAAAAAAAGAGGAGGAGGAAGGAGAAGAAGAAGAAGAAGCTGAGCAAAATACTCAAGCTCCCAAGCCCAAGTAAATACTGAACGACTTTTTTTCTTTTTTTTTTGTCGTCGTCGTCTTCGTCGTCGTCGCCGTCGTTGTCCCGAGCAGTGCGAAGACTCCAGCACGACCAAAATGTATTAACGAAATCCCCGCGAGAGGTATATACAGACAGCAGCTAATAGTATAGAAAAGAGCTCATGGACTCTCGTGCCGTGTGTGCGCGCACGATACCCTGGGCGACGAGCGCCGTGAGAGTAGTACAAAAGACTGTACGGGGGATTGCGCAAGGAAACCCGAAACAAAGTTTCTTATCTATCGACGGATATGTAAGGCGTATCAAGTTAAAACCGTACGTCTATACGTGTGTACTCGATGGAATAATCTGTTATTTCGAATCGCTGTATGATAAAAAAAAAATTTATACGGATTTTGGAGCGTGCAAGTAGTCGGGAGGGCGATATGGTCAGACATGCGAAGCTTTCAAAAAACAATCTTTCTCTCTTCTCCTACCTTTCGATGAAAAAGCTCCGAGATATACGATGATATCAGTTAGCCGCTTAGCTGCAGGGTCATATCTTCATCATCTTGATTCCGACTCCTTCCTTCTTTTTAGCAGCAGCACACTCACTTATTGCGAATCAGTATTCCGCAGAACAGAAAACAGAAAAGGGGCAGAAACTCGAATATCACATAACTGCTTGCTCTCGCTCTCTCGATGCAGCACACTACTCGACGCTCGGTATTTTATGCACACAACGCGCAACGATGCCCTCGCTCGCCGCCCCTTGGTCGACGTAATGCACGTTCCAGTTTTCACGTTGCTTACTTATACGTCCGTGTGTGTATGCGTGGGTGTAGGTGTGTGTACAAAACTGTTGGTATACTTTGGGCCACGAACTAGCGAGAGAGAGAGAGAGAGAGAGAGAGAGAGAGAGAGCTGGCAAGTTGGCCACAGGTGTGCTCTCTTGCAAGCTTCGAGCGCTTGTGGCTTTTTCAAACTGTTGCGTCAGACTGGAGTATCATCATCGTCGTCATTCCTTGGAATTCGTAGCGCACTATATATCAAACTTTCGTTACTTTTTATTACTTTTCTTGTTTTTCTTTTGCAACCTCGAGGAGGACCGATATGGTAATCAACTTTACGACGACGACCACGACTCACGCGAATTTACATTCGCAATTGGAAATTACGACGATTGATCGAATGAACCCGGGCCAAGCTCGTGCATTGCTAACCGAACATTATGGAGCGGCAGTGCTCTCGAGCGAGCATAGAGCATCGACAGAGAACTGACTGCGTGAAGTATATACGAGAGCCGAAGTGTGCACCGAGTGTGTGCCGTGCCGTGGCTGTGTGCTGTGCGGTGCAGTGGCTCCGTAGCGTATGAGTCGCGCTATGGAACTGGATTCATCGTTGAGAAAGTGAGAGAGCTTGCTCCACTGCTGCTTGCCGCTACTACTCTCTCTGGGACGCAGTTTCCTTCTCTCGCGCGCGTCGAACGGCTCGAAGAGTGGGGCGGCGGCGGCGGCGGTGCTGATGCTGGTGATGCTGGCGGTGGCGGGCGTTTTCATGTATAGCACTACTAGCCGAGAGCGAACGAGCGCGCGCATATATATACATCGATACATGCATTTAGCTCTCGAGGCTATTTGTGGAGATGATACATAAGCCAACCACCAGCAATACTGTACTAGCGTACTGTACCCGAAGCGCAACTGGCGTCGGCCGTGCAGCAGAGAGAGGAGAGAGCCTCCCAACGATAGTATATATACCATACCGACGTTTCAACTTTTTTCTTCTCGTTTCCTCCTCCTCCTCCTCCTCCTCTTCTCTTTCAAACAACCCCTTATAATATATGTACAATGTATAGCGTGTATCCACGCTCGCTCGCACACAGCGGGGAACAAGTGGCTTTGCTATATAGCCTTTTTATCAACGTGTGTGACGGGAGTCTATTTAGAAGGAGCGTGTGCGCGCGCCCCCCGTAAGCGAGCTTCTATCGCTCGTTCTTCGAAATTTTTTCCTTTTTTCTTTCTTTATTATTTTTTATTTTGATGCTGCTTCTCTCAGCTGCGGCACTCGTACTGAATATGAGTTTTCCACGACGAGGCTGTTTTTTGCAAAATTCAAACTGATTGAACGGCACACTCGTTGAATCGCATTTTTTAACGAACTCACTCGCGCACTTGGGGGAGTTTAATTTGACGAAATTGAAACGAACTTCGCGCAAGGGACTGCCTGCGCCGAAAGCGTCGTTTTATTTGATCGCTGATTACATGATTATGGACCTTTAAATTTAACGCTCGTATGATTTTTTAGCCTTGTACAATGAAGAAAACGCACGAAAATAAAAAGAAAAAGAGGAAAAAAAAGAAAAAAAGGGGAGTCTAGGGTAAAGAGCTCTGAAGAATTTGCAATTACGATTTTATTTTGTACTCGCTTTTACGCGTATTTAGTAGTAGTATGCGGGGCATTCTCTTCACCTATTCGCATTTTACATTCATCATGCCTACACAGAGAGACAGAAAGGAAAAAAAGAACACATACTGTGTGAGAGGAGAGAGAGAAAGAGAGAGAGAGCACATACGCACATGCACACATAGAGAGAAAAGTCGAGCTTTCCTTTTTATTCCCTCGAGTTTCTCTCTTGCAGGGTATATACGACCAACGTCACGCTGGTATACTATGTACTGTATCTAGCTTTTCAACGCGGGCATTTCTCCGAGCTGTTTTCTCCTCGTTTGTTCGTTCGTTCGCTCTCTTCCTCTCTCTCTCTTTCTCTCCCTATGTGATAAGAGTTAACCTCTGGCACATTATGCACCCGCGTACATTACTATAAACAATCGTAACACAGCAACAGCAGCAGCGGTGCAGTTTTCCTGCTAGTTTTTTTTTTCGTTGTTTGTGTGACGAGGACAACGACACTCACTGTGCTCGACGACGACCTACATATCTGTCAGCAGCTTTTTGACGTTCTTCCAATTGAAAAATATATAAAAGTGCGAGCGTGAGGTAGCTGCTACTGCTACTGCGCGACAATGATCGAGACATTCCACGATGGCTCGAAAGTCATTCACATTTTCTTAATTAAAGGAATTAACCCCACCCATCCGACCCCATTGGTGCACGCGCATCGGCCGATTTTCGGTCGAGACACACAGCTCAAGAAAGCAGCAGAATCTTGACGTGCGCGCGTCGTGCGTACCCCGTTGTCGAAGAGACAGAAGCAAAAGCAGCAGTAGCAGCAGAAGCCACGCACAATACACAGTACGATTGCAGTCGAGGAGAGAGGGGCTCGCTCGCGCACGCGTCACCAAAGTCGTCACGCCTGACCTTCCCTTGGCAGTCTAACGTACGAACGAGCGAAAGAACGAAGCTCGAAAAAAGCCCCCTTTTCTGAACGCGGGCACACACGTACACCTCCTCACCCCCCCCCCCCCCCC